CCAAGGAGAACTCTTGAGTCTGGTTTGAGTCTACATTTACTTCTCTGTGTCTGGATGCATCACACTTACAATGTAGGTGAAAAATCACACCAAGTGGTGTGGTGGTATTGGCACAGCTGCAAATTATTTGGCTTCAGGTACTGTCTTTGTCATTACTGTGTCCTAAACATCCATCCCTGCCCTGACACCAAAACATATATATAGATTCTTATATCTATGTACGCCCCACTCCTCTGTGAGCATGTTCATCTTTATAAATTTTCAGAAAGCAACACCAATACAGACATAAGGCAAACTTCTGCTGCGGAGTTGAAGAAATATTTCCGGTCTGTTAAAACTTTCTGAACTCTTATCACCAGCAAAAGAAGCATCAGCTTCAACTCCCCCCTTTTACCTTCCTACTTGAATGAGTCTGGCCTTAGAGGGCTAAACCAACCCATTCACAGGGGCTACTTCCATGGGTTGTGGGAGGAATGATAAAACATCTAGAACTGAGGGATCCTCAGAGATCCTGACCCAGTTTTAAAGGGTTTCAGACAGTGAAAGAGGGCGAAGCCATTCCATTTTCCATCTCCACTTTCTCCACTGCTCTGATGTACCTGCAGATACATCATTATTTCACATCTTTACGGTGACTCCATTAAACTAACTTAAAGAACTTCTAGAATCAATCACACAATAGGAAAGACCAGACATTCTTTGCAGTTCTCATAATTTTAATAAGCAAAAACAAAATCCACAGAACACTGTGGTTTTAAGGTCATCTTGCAGGACATAAGCCAGCAGACTAAAACTAATACTCTTATAATCCCAACAACCTTAATAAAATATTCTCCCCCCGCTTTTTAAGGTAATGTTTTATTTTACAAATAATGAACAGCACATAACATCATGGAAATATGACCGGAAAAACTGCAGGAACCTTTTAAAGTTATTGAAGCTATTTTAATGAGGTAATTTTAATTAAAAAGCTAGCTGGAAGAGGTGAGTCTTCCAAACCTCTTTGAAGACCAGCACTGATAGGGTCAATTGCATATCGCTGGGAAGAAGGTCATTAAGCTAGGAATCACGTATCACATTAAAAATTGGTCTAGGTTCACTTATTCCTTTAGTGGAGATACATCTTGAAAATAATAAGAATTTCTCTGTTGGATCAGACTAATAATTCCATCTAGCAGAACATTATGTCTTCTTGGTTAGCTAGATGCCTCTGGGAAGCTTGGTCTGTGTATAGAGGTTCCATGTTTAGCTATCATGGCTAATGGATGTTGATGGGCCTATTCTTTATAAATGTTGCCTGATGCTTCTTCAAAGTTATCTGGACTAGCGTCCATCAGCACAGCTTGCAATAATTGCATGAGTTAATTATGAATTGCACGAAGTGCTTCCTTTTGTGTGTCTTGAACTTACTACCAGCCAATTTCTTGGCAGCAGGAATGCAGCTGGGCTGCTCTGTTCTGATTATTTGTTGTGGCTGTAAAGACACCCAGTATTTCCTCTGTGCTGTCCAAGCAAACACTACACAGTAATGGAGTTGTTGATGTAGAGGAAAATGAACTAACCAACTACAAAGCCATAGTCTTTAAACCGTTGACATGTTTGGTGCTATCCTCTATAGGTTTATTGGCAGATGCTCATTGTCCTTTTGAGAAATGAGGCGTAGTCCATTTTGCTTCTTCATGTGCCAGAAATTCTTTCAAGGACAGAACAACATACATAGCTTCCCATGAAACATCTCTGTTGCCCCCACCCTGAAACAGAAAAAGTATAATCAAATTAAACTGCAGCTAGAAATAGAACTTGAAATCAGTTGTAACAAATTGTTAAAATTTGGCATGATCACCCAAAGTTGAGTCCTTTTTGGACTCACTGATTTCAGTAAGGGTGAGTTAGGGCAGAATATTGAATTAGAGAAGCCAGTTTTCATGCTTGCAGGTAATACTTGTACTGTGTTACAAATATATGAATATAATAATGAGTATGTCATATGTTGATTACTTTTGATTAAGATCAAATCAGATTTTAAAAACATCTCACATTCTCAATGCTTAGAATTAAGGTAGAAATCACATTACAAGAAGTACATATAGCTACACAACAACCCTTGGAAATATTTAAAATATTGTTGACAATTCTTCTTCTTTGAAGTGTGTGTGGATTAGCAGAAGAACCACCCATAAATCACCTGGAAAAGATGCCATCTTCACTTGCTCCAACTCTCCCCAGTATAATCTGCTTTGTTAGCACACTTTTTTTGGGGGGGGGGGTGTCACCAGAGGTCAAAACTCAACACTAAATGCTTCAAATGAGGACCAATAGCCAATGCATTTCTTAAATGAGAAACTTCTCAGACAAGGCCTTTTAAAGGCAATGATGACCAAGTGTTCCAAATAGCAGCTGACATGCTTGAGCAAGTGGTGCTGAATCTTTACTGCTGGTAGCCTTTTGCCAATGTTAAAGATGTGCATGCATGATTGGAGGCAGGGCAAGATTTCCTGTTTTTGTCCTCCAGGAAGACTCAGATTGGCTTCAGTGCACCCAGGACCCATAGTTCTCATTGATGAGTGGTGCTAATGGTGGCACTGGCAAGAGACAAATACATACATACGCGCATGCGCGCGCGCGTGCACACACACACACACACACACACAGAGTCTGGTATATGTAAGTCTGGATCTTCCTCCCCGCCCAACAGAAAATTACAGATGGCAAGAATACTGGATGTTTTGATGATGATAATAATAATAATAATAATAATAATAATAGTAATAATTAGAATAGTAGAATTGTAGAGTTGGAAGGGGCTCAAAGCATCATTTAGTCCAACCCTCTGCGAAGCAGGGATCCTTAATTTATATCATTTTATATTTTTTATTTAGTTTTATGATATTTTTATGACCATTGAGTTGGATACAAACATTTGACCAGAAAGGGGCTCTTACCCAAACAGTTCCACAAAGGGTGGCCGCTTACACAGGGTCAAAAAGAGGGGGCGAGAGCCTAGATGGCCTAGAACTATAGATGCAAATTTAGAGATAGTTACTGTAATTTCGATAGAAATATAGTATATAACACCATCATGGGGGAGACTGACCAGGAGCCTGAGCTATCTGCTATCCAGCTGCTCCCCATGGATGGGCATTTTCAAAGCCCCTGCTCTTCCTTCTTTGAACTAGACTTGGAACAGACAGACCTTCAGTTAAGGGTTTGACCACTACCCACTGTAAGGTAGGGCACATGGCCAGCCTAGCTCCACGTCATGCATACTTTAAAAGGTTCCTTACATCTGCAGCATGCTGCCTACATAGCAGGCTACCTGCAAGGTTCTTCTGCTATATTCTGAGCAGCAGCAACAGCAGCCAACAGAACTAGGATCCAGTTTTTGTTAGGCTACAAGAATTCCAGAAGCAAAGAACTGTTAACAAATAAGGAATAATGCACTGATCCCACCACCCTTCACAACTCCATTAATTATGACTACCTGCTCAGGGGTAAGACCACCTCCTCCTAGGGAACACATTAATTGTTGCTTTAAGGGGAAACCCCCCAACCCCTATCCTACTCTTCTTCAGACAGACTCCAGAGGTTTGACAACATCAAATCAGATACAACGATCGAATCACAGCAACAAAAACTGATAAAAACTAAACAGCAGCATTAAACAGCAGAAATAAATATTATTAGTGTAGTTGTTTAGTTGTGTCTGTCTCTTCGTTACCCCATGGACCAGAGCACGCCAGGCACTCCTGTCTTCCACTGCCTCCTGCAGTTTGGTCAGAAATAAATATGTAGGTGAAAATACGTAGGGCTTTAAAAGCCATATAAATTGTTCTGGCTGTGAAAATACTGATTAATATAAGCACATGAAAGTCAGCATTTAGTGAAGCAGTACTTATTAAAATGCCCAATACTTTCTTTGAATTATCATTTGTTATGTTTTATAAATTTTGGTAACACAACCAATTTTAGTAACCAGCTATCATATTCCATGCATGTGAAATATGTAACTCTGTATTACACGATTAATTTATTCTGCTGAATTCTAATAACTACTGAGCTTTATATATAGGAACCCTATACTTCTTTTACAAAAAAAATTCCAAGAGACGTATCTAACTTGTGGAACTCACTGCAACAGTATGATACCGAGGCAAAGAAGTTAACAGGATTAAGGGAGGGCAAATATTAGCTAAGTGTATAAATAGTGAGCTTAATCCACAGCTTCATTATAGAAGTCATTTCCTTTATTTATTTATTTGCAAAGGATATAAACGCTCACGGCGTTATGACTTGAGTCATAACAGCTGTCTGAAAGGCACTGACCACTATCTGTGGCAGGAACCTGGACTAAAATGAGCTGCTTGTGGGATTCAGAGTGGCTACGGCTGCCTCAAAGTGAGTGTGAGCGCACCCTAGCTAAAGGAGCCTACTGTCCTCATGGTCTCAGGCAAGAGGTAGGCACACCTAACTGAGTGTTTATTAATCTTTGCTTTTGTTCTTCGCGTAGAGATCAGGTCTCTGGGCTGAGATATTAGAGGGTCCTTTAGAAAGTATGTGAGCAAGCTCTCTGCCTGGTGCCCTCTCCATTGAGAAATACCGAGTAGCATCAGGGATTAGCTGCAATATATGAGCGAAAGGCCTCAGAGGGGCCCGGGATCATTCTGAAGGCTGCTTCCCACATTAAGGTATTTGGGTGTAACTGCTGAACGTTTTACATGCACACCTGAGCAAGTAGTACATGCACACGAGGGACAGGTGATTCAGCCACTTGTAATATGCAGATACATCTGCCAAGGAAAGGGGGGATTGACTGTTATTCCTGACTCTGTATGCACATGTTGTGGCAAGTGTTCCTGAGGTTTTCCTCTTCCCCACTGTTATTGTGCATCGGGTTGCCATGTCACCTTTAAAACTCTGAAGCACCAAGACTGCAGGATGCAGCCACTGGGTCTCCCACATCATTCCTCACCTCACTGCCAAATGAATGAAAGCGTAACCTGGGATAGCTCAGTTGGCAGATCATGAGACCGTTAATCTCAGGTTCGTGGGTTCAAGCCCCATAGTGGCCAAATTATTCCTTCATTACAGGTCGTTGGACTAGTCAGGATAATTATTATTATTATTATTATCATTATCAATTACCTCCATGTTCCCTTCCAACTCTACAATTCTATAGTAAGTATGTGCAGCTCACATTTGTTCTGCTTCCTCTTTCCTCCTTTTCACTTATTGTGTTCACCTTTGAAATTTAGATTGCAAGCGCCTTGGGGCAGGGATCTCTCTCGTTTGCTTCTTTGAAGTGCCTTGCACACTGATGATGCTATGTAAGAGCTGGTGTGGCATCATAGCTAAGAAGAGTGTGAACAATGAACTTGGCTGTCCCTGGTTCTAATCTTGCCCCAGCCATAGGCAAGCTACTGCTTCTCCTAACCTCTCCCCTCACCTGCCATTTGGGGATAGCGTAAGGGCAGAATACAACCCTTTGCATGCAAAAGCTCCCAGGTTTGATCGCTGGCATCTTCAGGTAGGCCCAAGAAAGACCCCTGTCTGAGAGCTACTACCAGTCTGTGTTTTTTGTTTTTTAACAAATTTTTATTGGTTTTTAAACAAATACAGATACAATAACTATTAAACACTTATCCAGCAATACTGAGGTAGGTGGACCAATGGCCTGATTTGGGGCAAGGCAGCTTCCCATGTTTGAATGAAAATAATATAACTGACCTACCTTGCAGGGTGGTTGTGGGATATATATATATGTATATGCCACCAAATCTTGCATTCACTGCTTACTTATGAATTCCTGATGACTGAGAGCCACACATGTACTTGAAATGCCCTTTATGCTAATAACCATTACATAAATAACTGATTATAATAAAACAATTTCTCCATGTGTGCCCTGGTCCTCTCCCCCATGCCGTGAGTCTGGAGTCCTGCTGGCTTCAGCACATGGAACAGAAGGGTGGATGACATGAACAGCTGTGGAATGGGGCAGGGGGTGCAGTGGGCGGCTAGTCTAGCTCAGCACCTTTAAAAGATATAGTTTCCGGATAAGGATTGGCTGTAAATAACAACAGGAAAGGAATGAAGTCATATTCAAAACAAAACACCACATATTGAAGCAACGCAAAACGTCCTTTCAACACTGTTGTGCAACTTCCTCAGACCTGTTTGTTGTAACAGGGCGCATTATGAGAGGGTCTGGGAAAATCATGCACGTTTTCTGTTTTGAAACCTGGCAGAGTACATTATGCTCCTCGTGAGGGACAGGGAAATGCTCCAGCTTTTCCTCCCGTGGTGCACATGGGAGCTCGTTGGAGTAAATGTATTCCTGTCTAGACTACAAGGATATCAAATATTGCAGGCGGGATGATTCTATAAGCAGTTTAGGGTGATCATATTGAAGGAGTGGAATGGGATAAGAGATGAGATTGTCCCGGAGGTTATTTGATCTTACCTGCCATTTCCACCAAGCCCGGCTACTTCATCAACATCTTTCAAAGGCGACTTTGCTGCATCTCGAGCGTTAACTGTACTTCTCAGCTCCTCTTCCCGAAGCCAGCCGGACAATAAGATGAAAGTCTTCTTTTTCTTTTCTTTTCTTCTTCCCATGAAAAAACAGGGGGGTAAAGTTTTGGGCTACAGCACCATATGCTACTGCAGCCTCTTAGGTACCAGCTATCCGGATGTAAAGTTAATATAATAGAAGAGAGCCGTGTCAGTTACATTGCCTGCCTGCTGCTTTTATCCTATTCGGAAGAACTTAGCAAAGGCAGATGTGAATTATCTTTTTTCCCTCCTCTAAGTTTTTTTTTTAAAATTTGAAATATTATTGTAAAATTGTTTCATGTGACAGATGCATTGAGCTTTGGTGGGTCTCAGCCTTGTACCGGTAAGTCTGAGGCTAAGTATATTACAGAGGGTTACTTGCTTTTAAAAACTCACTGGTCATCTTGACTAAGCAATCGGGCTGGGGTGAGGTGGGGACAAAATGATGCACTGCTGCATCTATTTTGCTGCTTTCCCCCCCATTTACAGTGAGTTTTAGTCACTGAAGAAACCCAAGAGCTCCTTCTTCTCTGAAGCGAGGCCAATTTTATGTAACTGCATTTTGGGATGGGACAAGGGCAAGAGCTTGTTTGGTGGGGGGGAAGGAAGAGAAAGCACAGCATAAATATACTAATTTACAAAGAGAATGTGATGGGAGAAACACTCTACCTCCTAAAATGACCTTTATTTTTTTCCGGCAGAGGATTTAAGATAAAGAGTATTAGTTAATCAGATTCTGGGAAGCAGCTGTTGGATGATTTACAGAGAGGAGTAAATGAGACAACTTTCCATTTTGAAATCAATGCTGAAAACTAAGTTATATGTTGCATGTTTCCTTGTGGCTTTGCAGATACATTGTACTTTTATTTTCTGAAAAGGACGCCAACTAATACCCTTAAATAGTCCATGAATAGGGCCAGCAGCCCCTGGCTTCCTTTGTTAGTTTTTTTGCAGTTAGCTATGAGTAAGTTTTGCAATTAGCTTTACAGCTAAAGTGTGCATTTTCATACATTAGCAACAAGAAAAATTCAGTGGAAAATAGAAGCATGTCCACATGACTACTGGTGTTCCCGTGTTTGCCTTTGATGCATTCATTTATGGCAGAGCAGAGTATGGTACTGATCAATGTTGATCCTACGATAATCTGCACAGCAGGTGCAAATGGAACAGTTAGGATGTTCTCCTATGCTGTATTATTGAGCCACGGCAATCCACATGGCCAATAATGTTTCCATAATGCATACTAAAGAAGTTAATCCTGCTTAGTAGAGCTTAATTAAAAGTTTCTTCCCTGCAGCATCTTCCCATTTTCTTGCTTCCTCTTTGATGCAGCGGGGGGTATGTGATGCCTGTTAGTTACTCAGCTTCTGTTCCAGCTATATAAGTTCATGCCTGGGTGTAAGTATGAATATTGATTTCCTTGCATTATTTGAAATATTGCTATTTTGCTATGGAATTTAAAAGAAGTAAAATAGTGGAAGGAAACCAGTACTTAAATCCATCCAAGCAGGTAAAAAGGTAAAAAACTGTGTTGTACCGAACAGGAAGAGATAGCAAATGAGCAGAAGCTGCAAATAGGAAGCTTTTAATTAAAAGGTACAGTATCCCTCAATTGCGTCAAAAGAACTTTGCATGTGCACACATACAAGCTAGCACAGAAACTATGTTTTATTCCCCCCAACCCCAGTGGTGGACCTTGACACCTCAAATTTCAGTGTTGCCCTGTGTGATGCCAAAATCTGGCACCGCCTCCTACCTCTTACCTTCCATTGGATGTCAATAGTTGTGGCGCCTGCCGCAGCACCCCAGAAGTTGCGCACCCAGTGCGACCAAACCAGTCGCGCTCCCCTAGATTCACCTTTGCTCACCCCAAAAGAGCAACAACAACTGGCCTGAGAAATATAGATTAAAAACAGTGTGTGTGTGTGTGTGTGTGTGTGTGTGTGTAACTAGAATGCAAAGGCTGGGCCTCAACGTCTTGATTCTTCATAAAATATGAGTGTGCAAAGGATGGCAATTCCAGAGAAAAGGGCTCATGCAGTGCAATCTATGACTGTGGTCTCCATATTGCTCCCATTCATTCCAATGGGACTTGGGCAAGAGACTTCTCTAGCCCTGTGGAACGCCCTCCCACCAGATGTCAAAGAGAACAACAACTACCAGACTTTTAGAAGACATCTGAATGCCGCCCTGTTTAGGGAAGCTTTTAATGTTTGATGCATTACTGTATTTTCATATTTTGTTGGAAGCTGCCCAGAGTGGCTGGGGAAGCCCAGCCAGGTGGGTGGGGTATAAATAAATTATTATTATTATTATTTATTATATTGTGCCCATAGACTACAATGTGCAAAACATAAGCAGTTTTGCAGTGAAGCAGTGCACTAGGGAGGCCACATTCCTTGTGAATGATGAGCAAAAGGAAGACCACATCTACTGCGTCCTTGGACCCCAGAACCCCCCTAAATATTCCCTTTTAAGATGATAGCATTTGAAGGCCGTTTTGCTCAGGTGTATAGAAAGGGTGATCTGATGACCATACATGGGGAAAATGAGTGGGGAGATTATTTGTAAGTGTCATTTCACATAATGGACACAGCTGCAATTACTCGGGTTGGAAACAGTTTCATATCAGCAGTTTCATTGGCACATGAGTCTGGTTGTCTGGTGGTTCTAGAACTTCACCTGCCATTCGCCATTCTCAGGCAATGGTGTATTGTATTACTATCTTGAGAGAGTGCAGCAATAGTGGCGACGGCAAACTGTAACCAATACACACAGATAAGACTCATCAGTCATTTGTACATACACAGGCTGAACAAGCTCTGCTTTCCTCCATCAAGGGGAGAGCTGTGGCTAATTTGGTGTGCTGTGAAACATCATCATCATCATCATCATCATCAAAGTATTGCTTTCACATAGTAAGAGGGAGAAGGTAACAGAGCTCTGTGGCATCTGCAGATGGATGCAAAGTGACTGCTTTCAGTAACAATAGCTTTCCCCTTTGTGTTGCTGGTGTTGCCAAGGCAGAGTAATGCAGCAGATTTTGGATTCCATCAAAGCAGCAATCAAGAACTTCTGTTCTATGGGCCTAACAATGTCCAGTAGCACCTCCCGCATTTTGCCCATGCTCTGATTTGGCCCAGGCTATGCCCACCTGATGCTCTGTGATGCCAGGTGTATGTATGGCAGAAGATGATGTGGTGCAAAATTAAAAGAAAAGAAAACTAGGAGTTTGCTACTTGAGTTCCGAATGTTTTGAATTGTGACAGAAAATGCAACAAATTAAAAAAGCACTGAATTTCCCAAGCTGGTAAGGAAGAATTGGGAGCCTGCTTAGAGAGACTATGTGCCATTCTTCCTTTGAAGGCATGGGTTGAAAAGGAAGAATCTGTGCAGCTGTGACTTCATTTTTTAATTTTTTTACTCAAGCTGTAGCTTTAAAGGAAAAACCAGGAGCGCTCCTGATACTTTCTTTGTAGTCACAGGTTTTAATTGGAACCACCTGATGTCCTATGGCATCAGATGACTGGCAGATGGGTGACCCCACTACCTGTCAAAGTGGCTCGTGGAGGGATATTCAGTTCTGGATCCCCATCCTTGCATTAAAGAGAGCCATATACAAATATATGCACACGCATCTACATGCATGACCACACACTCAGTGCAAAAAAAGCCAGTATCTTAGCCACAAGAACTGCACACAGTTTTAATTCTTATTTAGCTCCCAAATATGGTGGGTGGCAGGAACTATGGTCACACAACTCTGAATAGTGTACATTCTTCATATCTGTTTCTATGTACTCCTGTAGAGGAGGGATTGGGCTCATTCAGGAGTGGTCACAGAGATGGACCAGAGCTACCCTCCTAACACCAGTGTTACTGCCATTTTCTGGAACAGTGTAGAGGTGTAACAAAGAGGCAGTGAGATTAGGGGCTTCACAGGAGCCCCAGTAGAACCACTCCAGTGCTCCTTCTCAGTGTATCAGATATTTTTGACTAGACCAAAATAAAAATGATGTAGAGCAAATACAATTGCTAGATCTTGACTACTCCCCACCCCTCCTCCGGGGCTAGCGGCAGAGGGGAAATTTGATTTTGTTCACATTTTAATGAGAAACTACCTAATTCCCACTTCTCCAGCCAATATATGAATTTAAACAGCAATTTGCACTGAATTCTGAATTTTGCGATACAGTTCTCCAACGAAACAATACATATATTGGGGAGAAATGTGCAAAAAATGCATGTATCCATGGAAATAACATCTTAAACACATTCGATTACAGAAAATTGGTTGCAGAAATGTGTATATTAGACAAAAGTGCACATCAAAATGTGTTCATTGAAGGACATTTGCATTAAAATGCATACAATTTTTCATGAGGATCCCCCCCCCCCCCGCACAGAAGTGTGAAGAACTGAATTTTAAAATGGGGAAAATGGGAAAGGTAGATAACTGAAATTGACAGATTTGTCCATTCCTATTTGGGATTGCAGCAGCTAGAGATAGCATGCTGAGCAGGGTAGCTTTGTCCTATGTCACTTGGGAATATCAGGAATTAACCTCCGTGATCAAGGGTGTGCTACATCCCATTTTATACTTAAGACGTTTATCTCTGAAGTTCAGCCATATCTCTCCAGCACAATCATGACATAATTTGTGTTCTACAGGGAAAATCACAAGAGTAAATGTAAGATGTTCAGGCTACAATCCTATATTCATTTATCTGGATGTGGGTCTGATTGAACTCCATGGGACTTTGTGTAAGTACATTTACAATGGTGCTGTCTGTGCTGGGGAAATAGTCACAAAACGGTGCAGACATGGGAGGGAATGGTTTGGCTTCTCTCAAACAAGCACCACACAGAACTAAAAATCAGATTCCAAAGTCAGATTGTCAGAACTTTGGGTGTCTACAAGCCAACAGAGAATTTGAAAAGCTGAGCAAAACATTTCTAGTACAAAAATCAACCCCCTCCCAAATTTGTTTCAGCACTTTTGCTCCTCTTTTTTATAGAGGAGTGCCATACCTTTCAATAATTTTAGTAGCACAAATTCCTTTCTCAAAAGTGTCCATACTTCATTGTAATGCTATAAACCCTTTCCCAGGTTATTTTTGGACCACTCAGATACTGGCATTTCTGGGGTGCCATGAGTTTAAATCCAAGTTTGTGTGATTTTGCCCTTGATGTGTTGGTCCTGCTATAAAATTGCTTTGTTGTTGTAGTAGTAGTAGGAAAAAAAATGCATTGTGTGTCCAGTCCAGTGCTCACAATGGCCTTTACTAGTGGCAACTGATTTTCTTCTTCTTGAGGCTTTGATGATTGCTCTGAGCCCATGGGGAATAACCCTCCCATGGGTTTCTGCTCCCAGACATATGGAAAATGGGCATTGTTACCAGAAGAAGCTGAACATCTGCATATTGTCCTCTTAGCATTTTGTCACATGGAAGCATGCAAAATTTGCAGCTTCTGCTTGTTTTGAAGAAGCCAGAGCAATGCATTTCCCATATGTTTGGGAGCAGAAACCATGACGGGGGGGAGGGGGGAGCTGCGGTAAGCAGGTTAAGACTGAACTCATCCAAACTGGCCACTGAGGGTTCTGTTGCTTGCCCGACTCTGCTCTACCCCAAACAAGGAAAGGGGGGAAGCAGGTCCTAAAAATATGCTAATAAATTAAATATTAAGGTCCTCTTTTCCTGCCCCAAGGATCTTTGCTTTGAAACTCTTATAGGGATAACCTACAGTGCCTGGGAAAAGAGCAGAGGCGCTGGATTTCTGGAAACCATCCAAGACACTGCCCCTGTAAAACCCTATAACCTTCAGCACTGTGCTGGGAGGTGTTGCAGAAATAACGAGTGCATGCGAAACACCTACTCGAATCCTCCCTTGAAGGGATAACAGCAGCAGTACTAAGTTAATAGCATTAAAAGTAATTAATTCTGTTTGTTTGAAGATGAGTTACCCTGGACTCAGTTTGATTTCATTCTTTGCGAGCAAGCGACACATAGACATAAAATCCTCTCGGTCTCTCTGTCTGTTCACTTGCAGATCATCATAGCGTGGGAAAGACGCAAGCTGCCGGTATCTAACCTCGGGATTTATGCCGCTAATCTGATTACCCCCATATGATGGACGTGTCCACTTGGAAGGAAATGGAGGTGGCACTGGTTAGTTTTGACAACACCGACGAGGTAGCAGAAGAGCCTTGTTTTTCAAATGACCTCAGGGCTGCTGGCCAATCGCACAAAGGGCATCCCAGCTGCACCAGCCTCCTGTCCAACTGGAGAATTCTCATCAACAGTGAGAACACAAACAATGAGACCATATTCTCCAAATTGTCTACTGAGTTCAGTGACCACCTGGGCTTGGAGAATGTGGGCATGGATGAGGGTGACCAGAGAGTCATCATAAACATTGCTGGGCTGAGGTTTGAGACGCAGCTCAAGACTCTTGATCAGTTTCCAGAAACCCTTCTTGGAGATCCTGAGAAGAGGATACACTACTTTGATTCCATGAGGAATGAGTACTTCTTCGACAGAAACAGGCCTAGCTTTGATGGGATACTCTACTACTATCAATCGGGAGGAAAAATCCGACGCCCAGCCAACGTCCCTATAGATGTCTTTGCTGACGAGATCATTTTCTATGAGCTGGGCGAAGATGCCATGGACCAATTCAGAGAGGATGAAGGCTTCATCAAGGACCCTGTCACTCTTCTGCCAACCAATGACTTTCATAGGCAGTTTTGGCTGCTGTTTGAGTACCCTGAAAGCTCTAGTGCAGCCAGAGGGGTGGCTTTGGTCTCGGTCCTGGTTATTGTCATCTCTATTATCATTTTCTGTGTAGAGACCTTACCTGAGTTCAGAGATGAGAGGGAGATCAAGGACCTCAAGGCTGAAGCTAACAATCTAACCAAAGCCATTGCGGTCCCTAATACCTTCACAGACCCCTTCTTTGTGATAGAAACTGCCTGCATCGTCTGGTTCTCCTTTGAGTTGTTTGTCAGATTCATTGTTTGTCCCAGCAAGGCTGAGTTCTTCAAGAATATTATGAACATCATAGACATTGTGTCCATCATTCCTTACTTTGTGACCCTCACCACGGAGCTGATTCAACAGACTGAGCTAAACGGCCAACAGAACATGTCCCTGGCCATTCTCAGGATTATTCGCCTGGTGAGGGTCTTCCGTATCTTCAAGCTTTCCCGGCACTCCAAGGGGCTACAAATCTTAGGACAGACCCTCAAAGCCAGCATGAGGGAACTGGGCTTGCTCATCTTCTTCCTTTTCATTGGGGTCATCCTGTTTTCTAGTGCCATCTACTTTGCAGAGGTGGACGAACCACAGTCACATTTCTCCAGCATACCTGATGGCTTCTGGTGGGCTGTGGTCACCATGACGACTGTTGGCTATGGAGACATGTGTCCTATCACCCTGGGGGGAAAGATAGTGGGGACTTTATGTGCTATTGCAGGGGTGCTCACCATTGCACTTCCTGTGCCAGTCATTGTCTCCAACTTTAACTATTTCTACCACAGGGAGACAGAGAATGAAGAGAGACAAATATTACCTAGGGAGGTAGAAAGAATACTCACCGGTGTGGTTACAGGGAATGGGAGTATGGACTCCCTGAACAACACAAATGAAAATTGTTCTCAAGACAAGACAAAAAAATATTGAGCAGTCACAGAAGATAAAAGCCTTGAAGGGTCTAAGGGTCTCTGACTGACCGATTGATAAACCATGTCTACTGTGTAACTCAATCTCTTTTTTTTAAAACAGCAACAACAACTTGGTTTGGGTTTTTCAGTCTTTCATTTTTGCTATCTGACTTCTTGTGACTTTTCGAATAAACAGAGTATTTCTTATCTCTCTTCCTTGATCCTCTGTCTCTTTTTATAACCAAGTGCTAGGCTGTCTCACATTTGTTTCTTTGCTTTGAGGTCAATACTTGTTCCCTAATGTGAGAATTTATTATCAATGTTTGTTGTTTTTTTTGCTTTGTTTTATAAACAAGCTCTTTCCCTTAATCCTAGGTTGGCCATAGATACTCTGGGTCCCTCCTCTACACAAATGGGATTATTGTTGATTGAAATTAACAACAAGAAAAATTTAAACTGATCTTTGTTTTAATTGCTATTAGTCTAGATGAAGTAGCAGGAATTTGACTATTGTGCCAAAATGCAGTTGCTGCAACTCCTTGCAACAGGGAAGCTTCCTGCTGCCCTTTTTGTCAGCCTGTCACAATTGCTGATCTCAGCAAAATTTGGAGATTTTCTTGGTAGTAAGGGAAGGCACTCTGTATATGCTCAGAAATATTCTCCATTTCATTACAGTTTTCAGCAACATTTGGAGGTATCCTTGGTCATAAGGGAAGGCGCTCTGCATATGCTCAGAAATATTATTTATTTCATTGCAGCTTTCAGAACTGAATCCTGCTGCTAAATTATACCTGCTCAGGGAAGCTATCATGAATATGCCATGCAGTTTCCTTTGGCAAAAACTGACCACTTCCCCAAAAGAAGATTTTTTTTCAAATCAGTCATTAAGAATGATTAGTGCTAATATTTTGACTGTGGATGGAAAGAAGAAGTGAAACTTTAAAATAGAAAGGAAGATAGAAGGAACTATTTCTGTATAATAACTTTGCATAAATATCCCATGATGCATGATGAATCACTTGGTAATCATGTAGAAGCGTCGGAGAAGACATCCGGCTGCAAAAAATGTTTTGTTCAGCTCTATAATTGGCAGTTCATTGACCGTGAACACTTGGTTTTATTTTTGCTTTAAGAAATTAACAATTACATCAGCATTCCTAATATTAATCAGTGTCTGTAGTACTATATTACTAAGGTAGGTTTTTAAAAATGCAAATTTTCACTGCAATCTAATAGCCCAATCTAATAGCCACTAACTTTGAAAATAAGCCCCTTTCTTGCAAGTAGACATGTATCAAATTACAGTTAGAAAGGTATTAATGGCATCGATTCAAGTTTTCCTACTATATACATGATATTAGGCGATATGAATTGCTGTGGTAAATTAATGCTGTTTTATGGTCTTCCTCAATGGATTTCTCACTCAATTTGACCCATATGCAATTGTTTGGCAGGATGTCTGGTTATTATGAGCCATTTTTGATCACAAGACGTGCTATTAAAATAAACCTCTTTTTTTGCATTTATTTAGAATATATCTGAGCATATATTTTTGAACCTTGTTTTGCATTTCCCGCCAGCACTGCTGAAAACTCTCCCCCCCCCGTCCTTACCAATGAAATCTGAGATTGCTCCCCTGTTCTCACAGCTTCTACCAAAAGCTGTTTGTTGAATAGAAGTTGCGTATAAGATAAAAAAAGCTACAGAAGCAGAAAGAGGGAACCTGCATAAAACTAGACAACGACTGCAATCCTTCTGGTGCATAGGATTGCCCTGTGGGTCAGATTAACAGGGCAAAATCCACAGCATTGGTTTCAAACAGATATTAAATATAGCAAATTTTACCAGCTGAGCATCTGACTATGTATGTAATTAAACACACACACACACACCACCTCTAGATTGTCTTGTTTATTTAGCAACAACGCTACAACTATTAAGTATGAGAGAACTTGAAAGATCCAGTTCTCAGGTAGCATCTTTTGTATTTCACTCTGACAGGATTCTTCTTTCTGCTGCTCCTTTCTGAGCCCCTCCAATATTTCTAGGCATGCTACTGTCTGCAATTTACCCAAAAGTGCACCTGCTTAGACCTATTTCCTCTGTTTGCCCTTCTTTCATCCCTATCCCTTTTCACCTGGTTCAGCTCCCAGTGTAAAGGTGAGTGCCTGCTGCTGCTTTCTCAGGTGGCAACCCTGTACACCTGGACCTGAGAGCAAGTCCCTTTGCACTCAGTGGGACTTGTTTCTGAGTAGATATGTGTAGGGTTGCACTCTCAATCACTGGCAGCCCGCCTCTCGACCAGGGTATGTTGCTCAATGCTTGTTGCATTTCATTTCATTCTCTTTCCTCACCTTATCTTTGTAATAATCTTCTTGTATCTTCCATAAACATGCGTCTTTTCTTCTCAGAATTGTGGGCATGGAGTGTTTTTGCCCAAATAACCACACAAAATAAACACAAGCTTTTGTGCAACCGTGGATGATTTTTCAAGTGTGGGTACCCGCTTTCCGAACCATTCACATGATGTAGAGAAGTACATACCTCCTTCTTTACAATGAGCATCAAATATTTCTTAGGTCAAATGGATGAAGTTGAATGAGCACATCACAGAATTCTAACTTCTTCTATTATCTAGTGAGGTTTCTGTGATGGACAGAAGCACTCTCAAAAAAGGTGGATAATGCCCTCATCTGACAAAAAAAACTTTGAGGTAAAAGCACTTCAGGATTTTTTGAATTTCCACATTCCTGTTATTTCCTTGTTTTAACTCCTCTCCTTGGCCATTTTCACACAAACCTTTAATTCCGATTAGCACACACACAGGGCCGGATTTAGGTTTGATGAGGCCCTAAGCTACTGAAGGTAACATATTTTAATATGTGATATTTTAGGGAGCAGGCTAGCTGGCGAGACCCATCACTTACATCATAGGAGCCTACGCAACACAAAACACTGTTGCTGTATGTAGGTTTAATTTTATTCGTTTTTTATCTTATATTTTGGAAATGTACATCCACCCCCCCCTTTAGATCTTATCTTAGATTTTGGAAATGTACATCCATATTTTTTCTTTAAATTTTTTTGGGGCCCCCAAGAGAGTGGGGCCCTAAGCTATAGCTTGTTTAGCTTATACATAAATTTGGCACCACACACACAAACCTTTGTTTCAATGCTATCTGTTCTTACTTAGATCCAATTCATATAACCATTGGATACCTGGTAGCTGACTGTGTGCAACTGTGGCTCATGCATGGAGCTGAACTATTGCACACCGCTGCAAATGCTTTTTAAAGAACAAAACCACAAACCTGAATCCTGCAGTAAAATCTGACACAGGATGGTGGCTGCAAATAATCAGATGGCTAGAAGCAGCCAAGGCGGTAGGCAGGGATACGCAAATCTCTCAGTTTCAGGTTCTCTCAGTCTTTCCCCCATTAAAAATTAGATTCTCTGCATTTCTACATCAGTTTGTGAATTTTGTTTAAGTCCTCATGAAAATTCACCAGTGAATTTCTCCTAATATACACTTTTGTATGCAATTCTGTGTAATATACATGTTTTTGCAGAGCAATTTCCCCTGAAATAATGCATTTTGTATGCTATATTCACCAATATGTGCATCTTTATACACACATTACCCCAGTATATGCAGTTTCTTATGCATTACTTGGCCTAAAAGGAGAATTGCAAAATTCAGGGACTTTTGAAGGATGGCTGTGTTTCGATTCATGTATAGCTTCAGATAGTACAGATTTGGTAGGTTCACCTTTAAATGCAAACACAGTCAAGTTTCTCCTCCATCCCTACCAGTAGGTGACAGCTTTTCAGTGGTCACTATATGCCAAATGTGACTTGATCCGGGGAGAGGAGTTAAAATGGAGGTAGCAGGAATATGAAGTCCTCTTTAAAGAAGTGAGCATACCTCTGTTTCTGGTTTCTGAAATAGGAGCCTGGAAGCTGGAGGCTGCAGAGCACAAACATGCCCCAGGCTGTTATTTAAAAAGAAAAGAAAAACCACATATGGCTGGTTGTGGCTCTCAGTCTGCCTCCTATGGAGGTCTGAATTGGGGGCGTAGGCTGTGGCTTGCCTCTTCAGTACCCCTGTTCATTGCTGATTTCAACCTCAAAACCTCTCCCCTCCATATGATACCCTTTTTCCTCCAGTTTACTGGAAATCCCTTCTTTTTCTCTCAGTTGCTATGGCAACCATGAGAAGGTCAATTAGATAACGGATGTGCATGTAGGGATTAGATGTCAGATGGTTAACAGCCTGGCTTGATAGACAGCTTTTCCTCAATTTTTAACAACTTTGCTGTCGTAGTAACTGATTACCCTCAGTTGCAATAACATAATAGCCTTCTGTAATTCAACTTCCTTCAAACGACACAAGTGGTTTACACTTACGCTCAGGCATATTGTACCCTTTCCTAAATTACAAAATGTGCGACCCGTTTTTTTTAAGTTTAAAAAACCCTCACTCCTGACTGCGCGCCAACTTTCTATGGAAAGCAAATCCACAAAGGTCAGGCTATCACGGAAAGCTGAATGAATATCTGTAAAAGTAAGGTTGGGAAATGCGATGCCCTGCTTACTATTTTGGGATCTTGAATTTAAGCTGCTGATTACAGAATTATACGAGTGGACAAGGCTTGATCAAATCCCACCACAGGCCATAAGGATACTGTGCACTTGCGCTGTATACACACAAGGACTGCAGTCTTGCTCGTTGTATTAATTAATCCAAAGAAATTTATTTCTAATGCCCTAAAGGGTATCATTAGCAACAGCAGCCTTGCCACCCCACTCCCAAATTCAAAAAGGCCAGTGGGCAGTATTAATAGTAATAGTAGTAGTAATTGCTGCTGCTGCTGCTATCATCATCATCATCATCATCATCATCATCATCATCAGGGTGCTTACTCACAAACTCATCACCAAGAGGTAAGAAGGTGAGGCAGTAAGATCTGGCAGTTGGCAGCTATTTGACCCTTTGACTACCTGTGTCTATGATAATGTCACAGTCCACACAGAACCGAGAAGTAGAATTAATCTGAATGTTGCAAACCTAAAATTACTGGTAATAATACCATATTGGCCCAAATATAAGCCGCACCTGCAAATAAGCCACACCTTTAAAATTCAAAGGGGAAAAAGAAAAAAAAGACAATACCAGAATATAAGGCGCCTGCAAAAGTTGACGTACAATCTCTAAAATCGTGAATCGCTATTCAATTGCTACAAATCCATAGGCACTCACACCCGTAAATGGCAAATGTAGAATAAAATCCTATGGGTACTAGAAAGGACCCGCAAGTGGGTTAAACACCTGTTCATAGCACTGTAAATACAAATAAAAAAACCAATATTGCACTGTAAAATACAGGGAAAGCGATGAATGGCATTAGAATTAATTGCACAACAGTCTCAAGCTTGCAAATCAGCAATAAAACATTTTTTGTTCCGTTTTACCGTATGTCTGTTTCAGCAGCGATATCATAAAAGCCAGTTTTTGTAAGGTCGCGAATTTAAGCTACACTTTGACTTTTCATGGTTGGAATTTGGAAAAAAAAGTGTGGCTTATATTCGGGCCAATACGGTATATTAACAATAATGAATGAAGCAAACATAGTAGGGCAACTGGAGTGGAAAGTCAACAGTGATCTAGAGGAGGGAGGAAAATAAGCAAGGGTCCCACACCACTCTTTCAGTCCGGGGTTTGTTGACATATTTTCCAGCTGGCAATAGTTATGGTGGCCTCAGCCTCATTCTGGAGGGAGAGTTTGAAAACAAGTGGGGGAGTGGGAATGGTCTCAGATCAGGTTGTTCAGCACTGCTCACCAAGTTACCATCACCACACTTTCTCCCTCAAACAGGAATGGTTGTCTTGTTTTTCGGTTTTGCTTTTTTTTTGAAGGGGAAGAGGACTTCTCACTGGATCCAGCTGCTGGCTGTCGCTTGGGCCTCACCTCAGAAATCCAGCAGGCCTCTGGACCAGATAAAGGTTGATTTTGATCCTTGACTGAAACAATCCTGTGGTGAAAGCATGATAATACAATCAGGTACGAGATATTGATATGATGAAGTACAGAAATGATGCAATAAGCTCTCAGAGCCCTTTGTCCTTTACTGTTACCATTGGTGGTCCTGCTAGGGCCATTTCCCCATCTTAAACCTGATCTCTGGTGTGGCATGGATGCTACCCCATCCCTGGTGCTTTCCTTGGATTTGCTGCCTTGGAATTCCTCCTCCTTAGTGACACATGTTGATACAGGCTGCAGTTGCTCATGGTGAGGTATAAATATTCTGCAAATGCCTTGGAGGAGCTCTTTAGCCATACATTTTGGAGTATTGCCTTTTTGCCCAGTAACAGATTCTGGAGAATCCCTGCCATGCATTCCTCTCGTAATTTGGAGTCACTGTGTGGCACCATTGTCCCCTGGCTTTGGAGTTATTGCTATGATTTTCATGCAATAAATAAGATTAAATTATCTGTATCTATAAAAAAGGAGCAAAGTCAAAAAAATTCCTCCCACTTTGATAAGAGCAAGACAGGGGCAAAGATTTAAGCTCTCTACCTTGGCTTGTCTTGAGGGTAGACCCCACCAGCTTTGTGTGAAACAAAACCAAACCCAGTGGCACAATGACATTGAACGTCACATCCTTTAAAAGACATAAACTACAGAAATATCTCACCTGAAAAGTCCCTTAGTTAGCTTGGATAGGCTGAGCCACTATGTGCAGCAGAATAAAATGGGAAATTTTGGGAATACGACTCTTTACCTACAAGTCTGAAGTAGTGCCATGCATTCAACTATCTCAGCATTCTTTTGCCTCATTCTGCTGAATGAAGCTGACTATGGCTTGGGACAGATTCAGCTAACTGGTCCCACCAGCAGAAGCCCATGAAAGATTTGCACTAGCACAGTTGGGCTTCCTTACCCCTTACCAGTAGTGCACACTGTTGGGGAAATCTCTGCTTGGCTTAAGAGCAAAGTGTTTTTCAATGAAGAACAATCTGGTTGAATAAGAAACCAAAAAAACCCCTCATTTCACCACTTTGCTAAAAATAGCACAGCCTGTGGTTTAAACTGTATAGAAACATGTCTCGTCTTGAACTCTTTAATGAAGTGAAACAAAAATCCATACATTAGTCATCCTTTGCACAGTCTGGCTGGCAAGTCTAACTTGGACTAGTTTATTCTTATTCGTATTATTATGTCTGGCGGTTCCCTCACTGCGAGAAGCGAAGTTACAAGGAACCAGGCAGAGGGCCTTCTCGGTAGTGGTGCCCGCCCTGTGGAACACCCTCCCACCAGATGTCAAGGAAATAAACAACTATCTGACATTTAGAAGACATCTGAAGGCAGCCCTGTTTAGGGAAGCTTTAAATATTTGATGAATTATTGTATTTTAATATTTTGCTGGAAGCTGCCCAGAGTGGCTGGCAAAACCCAGCCAGATGGGCGGGGTATACATAATTATTATATTATTATTATTATGCTGTGACAGAGATGGTTAGACTGATACAGCTTTTTTGCCGGGAAAAGGATTTTCACAGGGAGTGGGGAGGATGTAGGAGTGGGATGAACATTTTGAATTTTTCTTTCCAGCTATTCCTTGAGTGGGGGCTAAAGCAAAACCCTCCTAAAAAAACAACAACATGATGGGGAGGTGGGAAAGGAATTTCTCTGACATTTCCAGGAAGGGTTAGCCATCTAACTGACTTGACCTTAGAGGTGGCCAGGATTTTTCATGTTTTCTTAATATATATAATATTTTAAGTTTTAAAAGAAAACTTAAAATAAACAACGAATCAACAAAATGAACACTGAACCACCTCTCTAGATAAGCAAGGTAAGCATTTTTTCAGTGACATTATTTGCACTTCTGGGCAAAATTGTCAGATGAATCAGTTCCCAATCAGTTCCCAATCAGTTCCCAATGCTCACATCATCACAAGGCTCCTTCTGCAGCTTCCTGCTGGCTGCACTTCCTGGAAAGCCTTGGGATCAACTCCACAACAATTGCATTGTTTTGCTCCCAAGGCATTGCGTTGTTTTGCTGCCAAGAACGTGTGGCTGGCCAGAAGTGTCTCAAGGTTCTCTCCATAGCATCTTACCAGCTGCACTTCCAGGCGGGATCCAGGGCTGGTGGAGGTGTGGCCTGGGGAGACTCTCAAGGGCCAGAGAGAGAGAGGGCTAGAAGGCTGTGTTTGGCCACTGGGCTTGGGATTCTCCACCCCACCTTTAACTCTTAAATTGCCACCATTAACTTTCAGTTTTCCTAGACCCATTTTGAGTCAAGCTAATGACCCCTCCCCTCCCCAGATGTGTCAAAATCTGATGTGCGGGTTTCTTAACAATATGCCCCCAAAGCTGTGAGCTTATGGAAAGTATACATTATGGAGATGGCTCTGGCAAGTGCAAAGAAAGCTGATTCTCTTCTACATGTTACACTGCTTTCATAGATACCCCTGATTTGACCTTTGTCCTTGAGACCTTTTCATTTGTCAGGCTTTTTTCTTTCATTTTCAGAGGCCAAAGGTTGAGAGACATCAAAGTCCTTTTTTATCCCAAGTATCCTTACAATTATACAGGACTGCAGTCATGGTTTCTGGCCGCTAGAGGCCACTGTAGTCTTTATGCATATATAGAGAGACAATGACAGCAATTGTTGGTGATGGTGTTGGTTTATTAGGGAGAGGGAATCAAACATGAACTAAAAATATCACAACGTAGCAAGTATCTATCCTAGGTAATAAGAGCCTTATCTGCTGGTTTAAATATAACATGCACCCAACTGACGATATGATAATGTTGTTGTGTAAATATACAATGTGACTGCACTTGGAATACTGCATAAAGTTCTGGCCGCCTCACCTGAAAAAGTATTTCTCTCTCTCTCTCTCTCTCTCTCTCTCTCTCATAGTACTAGAACTTGGGGCTATCCAATGAAATTGAGTGCTGGAAGATTCAGAACAGGCAAAAGAAGGCACCTCTTCTCACAGCGTATAGGAATCTGTTCCTCCAAGAGATGGTGGCGGCCACCTCCTCAAACGGCTTTAAAAGAGGATTGAACAAATTCATTGAGGACAAGGGTATCAATGGCGGACAACCACTATGGCTATGTTCTACATCAATGTTGGAGGAGGAATGCCTCTGAATAGCACTTACTGGGAATCACAAATGTGGATAATGCACTCCCATTCTGCTTGTGGGATTCCCATGGGCATCTGGTTGGTCACTGCAAGTACAGGATGCTGAACTAGTTCTGCCTTTGGCTTGATTCCACAGCCACATCACATGGCCTCATGCACTTTCTCTACACTTGGGGAACACCGATGAATTTTATGTTTTAATTTCAATGGCAGATTCCAATTGTAAGATGACAGAGCACACAACCAACTTCTTTGCTGTGGCCATCAAAACTAGATCACAATTATTGAAGGGGAAATTAGTCCAAATTTTCTGTATTTTTACCTGTTTCTGGATTTTGTAATGTTCTTGCAAAAAGGGCACAATTTGTGTGCGGGGACAGGTGTTTTGTTCCCCCCTGCCCCACTTATCTTGATACTCTTACAGTGCATTTGATGTTTATGGTCTGTAGACCAAATACACTTGACTTAAATATTCATTATGTAAAGTGTAGAGTAACGTGATGACTCGTTCAAAACATCTGCTGTCAGCATTTCCCAGTTCCTATATGCTTTAAGTCTCAAGCATTCATTACCTCACTGCAAACAAGACCATGAGGACTACACTCAGCTATCTTCTGGGTGAGTAGGAAATTGCTAGGCTAAGAAATCCAATGTAAGCAAGGAGAAATAGCTCAGAGAGAGAGCAAATGCATTGCACCTAGAAGGTGGCAGACTCAGTCTCAGTCCCTGTCATCAGCAGTTAAGAGGATCAGGTAGTAGCAGGCAATGTGAAATAACTCTTTTCTTCCTGATACCCTGCAGAGCTGATGTCAGTCAGAGTGGACAAACAGACAGACAAATAGTCTGACTTGGTTTAAGGGTGTTTCTTATGCAGGCAGATAAAAGTGAGCAACCCATAGAAACGAAATCTACATGCCAGTCAGTGCGCCTGGCTGGTTGGTGGCTTGAGCCCACCTAGGGAAGGATTCCTACATTGTAGGGAGTTGGGCTAGATGATTCTCAGGGTCTCTTCAGATTCTATTATTCTAATAATAATAATAATAATAATTATTATTATTATTATTATTATTTATACCCCACCCATCTGGCTGGGTTTCCCCAGCCACTCTGGGCGGCTTCCAACAAAATATTAAAAATACAATAAAACATCAAACATTAAAAACTTTGCTGAACAGGGCTGCCTTCAGATGTCTTCTAAAAGTCAGATAGTTGTTTATTTCCTTGACATCTGAAGGGCTGCCTCGTTCCTACTGAGTCTAAGACTGTAGAAGTTAACACTTAAAAAAATCTATTGTAGAAGGTTTTGCAACTGAATTATTTGCACATCTTTATAATATGTTTGTTCCTATTGGGATAGCTCCTAACATCTTATAGGAAAGCAAACCTAGATCCGGTCCGCACTGAGCATTAGGGGTGGGGGTGGGGAAAAGATCCTTTCTGATCCTGGTATGCCACATTGAGATAGCCGTAGTTTAGCTTCCACCAGATCTATCCGTAGGCAGAAAGGAATCATGATGGGAGCAGTGCGAAACTACCTCCAGCTGTTAAGGCTGCCAGGGCTTCTATGCACTTGGGAGAAACCAGTGTGGCTCATTTTAAGGTAGTGCCTGTTAAGCTTGGCATGTGCAAGAACTTTCATTGGGCCACAACACAACAAACTGCAATGAGGACCATTTAGCCAAAGCCTTCAGCACACTCTATTTTCAGCGAAAGTGGTAGACACATATGCAAGGATTAGCACTAGTGTAACTCAACTTCCACCCTTTCCCTCCCCCTGTATGCACCCAAACAGCCCCCAGCATCTGCTTTGGAGGTTTGAGGGAACCCCCCAGAATAGCCCCAGGGGGCATGTGGGGGGAGGGGAGAAGGAGGGAGGACTTTCCAGCACACAAAGAGAAATCTTTGCCTTGATGGAGTATTCGCTTTGGCACTGTGTTGAACACCAGGCTCTCCCAATAGCTCAGTCAGTAAAGCATGGTACTGTACTCTTGATTTTGGGGTCTTAGATTTGAGCCCCATGTTGGGCAAAAGTTTCCTGTATTGCAGGGGCTAGATAATCCTCATGCTCCCTTTCAACTGCAATTCTATGATTCTATGATTAAGGAGGAGGAGGCGGCAGGGAGTTACAGCCCCTTCCAGAAAAAAAAACACACCTGGGAATATTTGAAGGATGTCTATTTCAGTAAAAATGCAAAGGACCCTTTGGCATTTTAAAGATGAATGCATTCAATTTTGTGAGGAAGACTTTTCTGCTTTAGACATCTTTTTGCTTAATTTCCAAGCATCTGCCGTCTCAGCAACGTTCTGTTAAAAGAATCAATACAGGGCTTTCTATCCCAGCAAACAGGTGATTTTTAACACAAATTTATTTTGGTGTTTGGATCATTTTTCACAGGATTATCTCCGGATTTCTCATCCTCGAAAATGTAAAAGGTAGAAATTACTTCATCTGCTGCGGGATGGGGAGGGAAGGTCAGTGATAACTTAAGTTACTGCGGCTGTGATGCAGTGTATCTATGCCAGCTCATTTTCTTTGCAGTGAAAGCCTGCTTTTCATCATGTTGTCCCTTTTCTAAAGTTATCCATAACCACAGCAGCTTTTAAATTATTGAAAAATAAGGTTTTACAAAGCCCAGTCTGGGATGCTAGTTCTCCTGCACTGCATAGAGCTCACTTGAACTTACGGGGACAGGCTAGTGCAATTCCAGCTATGTCAATGTGTTTGTATACTCCATATTTTTATGGAACATTCAAAACATTTTTGCTATTTGTTGGCAGCAAAAGTGGGACTATGCTGGTGATTTTCAGGGAGGGCTTCTCCCGGTGGCAGTAGTGGCAATCCTCCAGCTGGCGGCTAACCTCCCATCTTAAAGTGCCTTGTTCAGCAGCTTCCTGTTTTCACCATTTTCAATTTTGTATAATACACATATGCAAGTAAGTAAAAAAAGAAAGTGATAAAAATGCTTCTTCTTTTTTTAATAGGAGCACTTGGTCCACAGCAACAGCTCCCTGCTGCATATTGGATTCTTTTGGAATCGAAAGGTACATTTTGGACCATATCTGCAGCATTAGCAAATCATATGCTAAATAAACTGAATAGTGCACATAGCACCATGGAGTGGTGCCTGACACTAAACAGACACCAACACAGCAATTGCACCTGTTATAAATCAGCATATAAAGTCCATGCAACCATATACAAGTGACCTCATGGCACAGTGTAGATTGCTGTAGATTAGTAGAGCATTGGCTTGAATTTGATTGCCACAGAACCAGCTGCAAAAATCCATTGACTAAGCAGCATTTAAAATTTAAATATTAAATCATAACAAAAACCAGGACAGGATCGCCAGATTAGGATTCTCAGTCTCAAGGATAGCTGTCATCAAGTTGCCAGATACTGAGATGAAGTAAGTACAGTGGTACCTCGGGTTACATACACTTCAGGTTACATACGCTTCAGGTTACAGACTCCGCTAACCCAGAAATAGTACCTTGGGTTAAGAACTTTGCTTCAGGATGGGAACAGAAATCGTGTGGCGGCGCAGCAGCAGTGGGAGGCCCCATTAGCTAAAGTGGTGCTTCAGGTTAAGAACAGTTTCAGGTTAAGAACAGACCTCTGGAACAAATTAAGTACTTAACCTGAGGTACCACTGTACTACTTTTCCTGTCAAATGGAGGAGACTTTTCCTGGACTCTTGCCATATTGACAGGCACTCCATGTGACATTATTTGGACACATGCCTGCTGACTTGCTAGTAGCGATGAGTGCAGCCATGGTCCACCGTTGTCATTGGCTCATGCTGAGTAAAGCAGGACGGTCCGATTCATCTGCCACTGTGACTCAACTGACAGGACCACCATAGAATCGTGGAGTTGGAAGGGACCCCGATAGTCATCTTGTCAAACCCCCTACAATGCAGGAGTCTCATCTAAAGCATCCATGACAGATGACCACCCAATGAGTGAAGGAGAGTCCACCACCCTGTGAGGCCTTGTGTGGATCCCAGATCCCCTCAATTGCTGCTCATTGCTTGGTCATCTACGACCCTCTATCCTATCACTATGACTTAATCAAAAGCTGACATTTATTCAGAGGGAACCAAGGCAGTATAAAGTAGAGATGGTCTGAAAATATTGCATAGAGCTGATCATTGTTCCCTTTTCAGATGAAAGTCATTGCACTAGTTAGTACTGCTTCTGCATGTTTGGCGTAACTATTTGCTGGTTGTCCACACCTTCCTAAGTACTTGTCAATAAGACCTCTTCTGGATGAATTTGGATGAAAGAGGGACCATTTCTGCCCTTGAAACACACTTTTTATTTTCCTAGGTTTCTTTACTGGGCATGAGGAAGACACGGACTTCAATGGCAGTGGCATAGTCTGTGAAGAAGGATACAGGGTTGTATCTAGGAAAAAGATTTACCGGTATATGTGTATAACACTGTGAGGCCAGATGGCGGTGTGGAGTCCCGTCTTTCATCGATGTGATTTCCCTTCATGAAGTTTACAACACATTTGACTGAAACGCTTCTTTAATGCGTCTTGATCCATCCTATGTTAAAGCTACTGTTCTGAATTTTGCCCCATGCTCTGCTTATATATCACAAACTGCTGCAAACATTAAATAATGGATTTTTTTTATTTTCCAGAAAAATGAAGAAAGCACTGCTTCAGGAAAACAACAGAAGATGGAAGAGCCATAATCCAGTACTGTGTTTTCGTATCTATCTCCCATGTCCAAATTACAACAGAATGAAACTGGACAGACTACAGGAATGTTTCAGATCCAGACAAATATTCCTTGTTTGGTTGCCTTATCCTATTTTTTTGAAAAAAGATTATTTTGCATTTTTGTAGACGTAACATAGAAGAAGACACCCCCTTTCCATCACAAGAGTACCTCCAGAAAGTCAAGATGCTCCCATCTTTTCGATGTACCAGGATTCCAGAACCATGCAGATGCTGAACTCCAAGACCTTTCCTATTGATATTAGCATTTTCTCTCTGTAACTTAAAAAACCAATATCTTTTTTAGATCTCTAACATTCCTCTTGCACTTTCTATTTTTCGATGGGACAGTGTGTGCTCTTAACAAAGCAATGGATTGAAGAAACACAGCAGAGAGAACACATCACTATTATTGGAGCTGCTCAGTTTTGCCTTGGCAGCACCACACTATTGGCAATAACTCTCTCTCTCTCTCTCTCTCTCTCTCTCTCTCTCTCACACACACACACACACACACATAGTGATCCTTGAGTGTGTGCTTGGGTGGTTGAATTGTGTGATAAATGAAGACTGTGAATGGCTATATTGGACTGCATCGGGGCTTTGCATGGATGGACTTTAGAGGTCAATCCCCTTGATCTAATGAGCGATTCATCTAACTCTTTTCCAATGCCAATTCGGTGTTATCCAGGACCAGTACACACGTGGGTAATCTGCTTGGAAACTGGCCCTTTTCAGTCCAGGATTCCAATGTGCTTTGATTCCAATGAATGTGAATGGATTATTAGGAGCACCAACTAATTATATATTCCACTTTCCAAATCATACTGGTCCGCCTTCTGAGATGAATATAAGGATAACTAAGAGAAACTAATGGGAGAACAAGGAGACACAGTCCTATCCCCTCTAGCCAGTTTATGGCAACATGTGATTACCAATGAGGGCAGGCATGGGGAACCTGTAGCCTTCCAGATGTTGCTGGACTACAAATCCCATAATCCCTGAGCATTTAAAGCCCTAAATGGCCTCAGTCCAGTATACTTGAAGGAGCGTCTCCACCCCCATCGTTCTGCCCGGACACTGAGGTCCAGCGCCGAGGGCCTTCTGGCGGTTCCCTCGCTGCGAGAAGCCAAGTTACAGAAAACTAGGCGGAGGGCCTTTTCAGTAGTGGCACCCTCCCTGTGGAACGCCCTCCCACCAGATGTCAAAGAGAACAACTACCAGACTTTCATAAGACATCTGAAGGCAGCCCTATTTAGGGAAGCTTTTAATGTTTAACAGACTATTGTATTTTAATATTTTGTTGGAAGCCGCCCAGAGTGGCTGGGGAAACCCAGCCAGGTGGGCGGGGTATAAATAATAAATTATTATAATATTATTATTGTCCATAGTCCAACAGCATATGGAGGGCAACAAGTTCCTCCTTCCTGCATTAGGAGTCCCTGTATCTCACACTGTATTGCACAGTAGTTGCTATGCATTATTAATACAGCATGAAAAAGAAAATAAATCACAAGAAATGAATTTAACATCTTTTGGTGTTTTTCTCCCCTGCCTTGCCCTTCCTGCTGACCTCAGAAATGGCACCCCAACTTCACTCACAATAACTGTAAGCTTTTGCACATGGATTACTACTAAAAGCTTAGCCTTGGGAAAGTTTATTAATTTGGAATTAACAGTTTTCAGGTCATATTTGCCAATGCCATGACCTGCAGGTTCTTTAAAGCAAATACTAATTTTAAAAGGACAACATTGGAGCTGCTATTTTTAGCTCAAGTACATGGTTATGAATTTAAAATGCAATTTGAGTTACCGTATTTTTCGCTCCATAAGACGCACTTTTTTACTCCTAAAAAGTAAGGGGAAATGTCTGTGCGTCTTTTGGCGCAAATGTGTGGTCCCTGGAGCCAAATCGCCCTTGCCCTGCACTCCTGGGCTGCTCTTTGGGGGTGGGGGGGAGGAGCCACGCTGCTCTGCCGGCAGCCTCCACTTTCCCCTGAAGCCCCAGCAAGGTTTGCAAGCAGCAGGAAGGCTGTGTGCTCCTGGGCTGCTCTTTGGGGGTGGGGTGGGGGAGCAGCAAATTGCCGCCTCTCAGTGCCTCCTAATTCAACTGCAAAGGCTTGATTGCCTAACTGGATTCTGAGCTCCATTTGAAGTTTAAAAATATTAAGTTTGGGGATTTCTTCAAGCAGCAGTTTCGCGGAAATAGTCATAAATACATGCAAAGCATCTCCACAAACCAGTAATAGTGAGCTCAGCTAAAACTGAGCAGGCATCTGGCTCAGGAACAGTTTAAACTGCACAACTATAACCGGACATCCTGTGTGTTTGTGTGTGGACCATGTTCCTAGCAGCTAATCTTTATTGCAGAAAAGAGGCACTGATATTCCACTCCAAATCTATAATCCATTATACAAATTCTTACAAGTACAGTCCACCTCTACCAAACCAAAAACATTGTGTTCTCTTGGTATTGAATGGAAGCTATTTATCTGCCCTCTTTTCCTCCTCTGTTCTTTGCTCAGTCACTCCATTTTGAATCTTCCTTTCAAAACAACCATGCCTGTTTTGAGAAAACTTCACAGATTTAGGAACTGGAGCGCAATCATTTGATTTCTTTGCTGTTCCTCCATACTCCAAGCACTTTTCATTTGCATAGCCCTGGTTTCTCTCCCTGACTATTACCATTCTTGATTAATAACAGTAAAATGCTCAAGTTTTAGTTTATGCGACGGCTGCCAATACTGACTTCCCAGTGATAATGAAAACAGCTACATTGTAATGGAATGTCTATCCTTTTTCCATTCTCTTCATTATATACTGTGGCTCACTTTAAAGCAGCAAAGCGGACAGGAGCCACCCGCTTTGCTGTTTTAAATAGTTTATGTCAGGGAACTGCCATTGGAGCTGGAAGCGGAGGGGAGGCTCCAAAGGGATGGCGGAGAGGGTCCCAGTAGGGAGAGAGGGAGCCCGTCTGCTGGGGAAGGAAATCAGCGTAACACCAGTAGAGAAGGGGGGCAGATGGGGGAATCGGGGAGGAGGCTCCAAGACTCCTTGCCGGAGACCAGCGGAGAGAGTACGGGTACTCCACTGCCCACACCCTCCCTGTGCAGAAGACTTCCGCGCAGGGAGAGTAGGAGGAGACTTGGTGTCAAGGAACCTTTGTGCTGGAAAAAGTTTAAGAAACGCCCACTGACGGATTCTGCCAGCGACTGAGACAGTCACAATGCTGGAGGCTGTTCAGTCAGAAAGGGTTAACCAGGTAACCTAGCCAGGAGTGGCGGCAACTTACGCATGAGCAACCCCTAAACCCATTACAGTTTAGTACAACATTTGAGTCAGAATTTTTTTCCCTGGTTTTCCAGCTCTAAAAACTAGGCGCGTCTTATGGTCAGGTGCGTCTTATGGAGCGAAAAATACAATGAGTTGCTGTTGCTTAAAGGTACAATTATTTGGCAGTGCCTTTGCCAGTCCAGGAGCCTCTAAATAACTTTTTTTTAAAAAGCATTAAATTCCAATTTCGATAGAAATATGTTTTCCAAAAACATACACTCCTGGTTTAAATGAAATTTATAACCAACCAACCAAACAACAATGATGAAATTCTTAGTGCACGACAACTTCAGAATGCCACACAGCTCTCAAAACAATATACTGAGACTTTAGTTATCTATTTAGCCAAGTTGTGCTCAGTGGCACAGTGTTGCCCAAATGCCACTATGATGCTGTGCCAAGCTAGCCCAAGACACTTTGCTGCCTGAGGTGAAAGACAAGAACACACCCTATTCTCCATTTAATGCACATCATTCAATATGACGGGCACTGGTGATGGGGCAATGCCCTCCACCATATTTGAGGGCAGCAGGCTAGTTTAGGGGTCACAGGGCAGGCAGTGTGGCATCCAGAGCTACGCCCCTTAAACCCTCACTGCCACAATAATTGCTAGTAACCCTTCTGGTTTCTTAGGGAGGGGAAAACCCATCAGTAACTAAAATGGTCACAGTGCAGTGTGCATACAAAAATTGTTCCTCATTTCACACTCCAGTTGAACAAGGAAGTTGTTCTTAATTGTAGAAATGGGGCTCGGGACTCGCTCCCAAGTTAACTCGCTGCAGTTAATAGGGTCTTGGACAGGAGAATTCAAACCCCCAATCTGCCATTTTGGAGCGGGGAGGTTGCATCCTCATTGGCACTAGCCAATAAACCCCCCAAAACATGGTGCTTGAGGCAGGGAAGGGGTCAGGGATAGGGGAGAAACTTGAATTAGTTTGCATTTGTAGCCAAATCTATCAATTCTACACTTTCTGAAACAATATGCAAACTGAAGCACAGCTATCCTTCAGAATTCTGTTATCAGAATTTTGCAACGCAGTTCTGCAACCTATCAGTGTTTACAAAAATAGCAATAGGAATGCGGTGGTCTACACCTCTGAGCCTCTTGGTTAGCAGTTCGAATCCCCCCGATGGGGTGAGTTCCCGTTGCTCTGTTCCAGTTTCTGCCAGCCTAGCAGTTTTAAAGTTTGTGAGTAGATAAATAGGTATCGTTGTGGCGGGAAGGTAAACAGTGTTTCCATGCTCTCTGTCTTCCATCACGGTGTCCTGTTGCACCAGAAGTGCTTTAGTCATGTTGGCCACATGACCCGGAAAGCTGCCTGTGGACAAACACTGGCTCTCTCGGTCTGAAAGTGGAGATAAGCGTCACACCCCATAGTTGGTTTCGACTGGACTTAACTGTCCAGGTGTCCTTTACCTTTTTTTTTTTACCTTTACAAAAATGCATAATTATTAAGGAAAATAATACAGAGGATTGCTGTGGGAAATAATGAAGGCAGTGTTTAAAGGCATATGTACTCAAGAAAAATGAAGACTCATTAAAATATAGAGGTCACCAAAGACACAGAACAGGAAGTCTCCTCTGTGGAACAAAGGCACAGGACAACAAGTTCAAAACATGAAAAAGCATAATTTAGGAGAAAATGTGCATGAAAATGAAGATACTAGTGAAAATATCATATGAAAAATACATTATATTAAGAAAATTGCTTGCAAAAAGGTGAAAATTAGTCAAAAACTGCCTCTACAATGTGTTTATTAAGAGAAATTCACACTAAAATGCTGGTGAATTTTCAGAAGGATTTTTTAAAATCGCAAATTGCTGCAAAATGGGGAGAGCCAAATGAAGATTGGAAGCATGAGAAATAGAGAGAACTGAAATTGACACATCCTTCCATCCCTAGTGGGGCCCTCTTCTGGATCCCATGCCAACTGCTGCTGGGACCAAGAAACAGAGTAATGTGGAAAGTAGAGTCCACCCAGGTTTGGTATTTAGGCCTGTGTTTTTTAACTTATTCAGAAGATTAGTGAATGGTGGCTCAGGGGAGGGCATTCTCTCCCTATGTTGTGGAACTCTCCATAGAAGTGTGCCTGGTGCCTTCATTTGGCAAATGCTGAAGATGTGCCTCTTTACTCTGACATATTTTTCGGACCCACTTTATTTCTGTGAATCTAAGTTGTTTTAAACTATTTTTAAGATTGTGTTTTAATTGTTGTAACCTGCCCTGGGACCTTAGAGTAAAGGGTAGGTTATTATTACTACAGTGGTACCTCGGGTTACATACGCTTCAGGTTACATACGCTTCAGGTTACAGACTCCGCTAACCCAGAAATAGTGCTTCAGGTTAAGAACTTTGCTTCAGGGTGAGAACAGAAATCGTGTTCCGGCGGCATGGCGGCAGCAGGAGGCCCCATTAGCTAAAGTGGTGCTTCAGGTTAAGAACAGTTTCAGGTTAAGAACGGACCTCCGGAATAAATTAAGTTCTTAACCCGAGGTACCACTGTACTATTATTGTTAATAATAAATGAATGAATAATGGTATAGAGTTAGGAGTGAGGTGGTGAAGTTGTTGATGATACCAAATGGTTCAGTGTGGTTTTTGTGAAAAGCTCCAAAAGATTCTCTCCTGATGGGATGAACAATGGCAAATGCAGCTCATTGTAAGCAAGTATAAAATGATGTACCCTGGGGCATTTTTTTTTGAAATTTTGCATATACTCTCAACTGACCGGGAAAGAGATCTTGAGGTCAAAGTGGGGACTGAACCTGAATACTACTTATGGGAACTGTTCTAAACTTGTGGTTTCAGCATTTCTTAGTTCCTTTTTGCTTTAACTTGTAGTCACAAGCATAAACAAACCATTCATTACCTCAGTACCAACAAGACCATGAGGCCCACACTCAGCTGCCTTCTTCTGGGTGAGTAAGAAATTGATAGGCTAAGACATTCAACATAAGCAAGGAGAAATAGCTCAGAGGCAGAGCAAATGCATTGCATGTAGAAAGTTGTTGATTCAGGCTGCATATGCCCCATATATTTAAAGGCATATTTAAAACACATTCGCCCCCAAATGGTTCTGGGCATGGTAGTTTATGCTATAATTCCCAGCACCACCAAGAAGCAAAAGTTCTCAGGATTCTTTTCTCCCTCCCTCCCTCCCTCCCTCTCTTTTTGCAAGGGGATGTGCTTTAAGTGTGTTATAAATGCATGGTAGTATGTATGTACTGTTAGACAGGTAAGATACTAGCGGGTGATGTGAAAGACTCCTGTTTTCATTGGAGAAATGTCGGAGGTTGTGCTGTTAGGACTGGCTTGTGCAGGAACTTTCAAGTTTCATTGTGATGCAGTAGAATGAATTGCTGTGAAGACCATTTAGCCAAAGCCTCCATCACACCCCATTTCCAACTCAAGTGGCAGACTCTGATGTTCTGGGTGGTATTCAACTAAATAAAAGCACTAGTACAAGGGTGAGCACTAATGCAATTGGACCTCCCCCCTCCTACCCCTCTATGCACTGCACACTGCCCCCAACTCTGCTTTGGAGGGTTGAAGAATCCTACAGAAAAGACACAGGGGGAATGGGAGGGGAGGGGAGGGGGGAACATTCTGCTGCATTGGAAGAAACCCTTGCTTTGGCAGAACATTGTCCTTGGTGCTATGCTGAATACAACCCTTTGTAATTATGATTAAGATGGAAGCGGGGAGAGGAAAGGGACAGACACAAACCTGGAACAACCAAAAAACATTAAAGGAAATCCGTTTCTGCAAAATGTGAAGAAGTCTCTGGCATTTTAAAGATGAATGTACAGAATTTTATAAGGAAGAACTTTCTGCTTTAGACATTTGTTGCCTCAGCAATGTTTCTTTTTTAAAATAAAACTCAGTATGGGGCTTTCTATCCTGGCAAACAGCTGTTTTTAATATCGTTTTTTAAATATTGGTCCTAGGATTTGTTATTTGTCAAGGGATTTGTCTTGGATTTGCTGTTGTGCACGAAGATGAAAGAGGTAAAAATTATTTTCTCCTGGAGAATATTTGGAAAAATGTGGGAGCAATTATTGATTCAATTTTTACCATTGTTTACTATTATTTTAATGTTGTTGAAGAGGGCAATGTTCTTGGCCTCTACTCCTTCCAGGTATCCATCTATTTAAGAAATGTATTTAATCAAATGATCTATCAGCACATGTCATGGTCTTGCAAAAGAGTACAAATTTTGGGAAAAGGTGATGAAGGAAATTTCTGAATAATAGACCTCAATCTGTGATTTTTAAATATTTTTATGGGTCAAATATAGACTTAATATATAACCATAACACAGGAACTGAAAGTAATGTCAAACTGCACGTGCATTGTCCTCTGTACCAGACTTTGGAATGAAAATAAAAGGGTGGAGAATTCCTGATGCATGGGTTTCACTTCAGAAGATGGCTAGCTAATTTGCAACTGCAAGATCCAGACAGAAAGTGAGATGGGGAGAATTAATATGGGCAGCAGTCAGCTCCTTAGTTGAAGCCCAGGGACAAAGGTTAATCCCTCTTTCTTTCCTTTATCTGCTGAATAGTCCATAGCGTTTATATTATGTACACATCCTATCCTCAAATGCACTAGAAAGTACTTCCATGTAAACATATCTTGTTCATGGGATGCTGCTTCTTTAAAAAATGTTAACAATTGCTGTTTCTTTGTAGGATCTGGTGGTCCACGACAATGGCGATTAGATAACATTTGGAAGCGTTATGATATAGGTATGTTTTGGACCATGTCTGCATCGTTAGCACCTGTAAATCCCATGTTGGAGCAATCGAAAGAAAGGGTCACAATGCACATTGCTCCGTGAAGTGGAGCCTGACACGGAACAACACGGCATTTGCACTTGTTATGAATCAGCGTGTAAATGTTACACGAAGCATGTACAAACAACCCCACCACACAGTAGAATTTGCAAAAAAGGGGAAGGCCATTGGCATGCATTTGATTGTCACAGTATGTACACATTAAACCATGATAGAATCAACTTTAAAGTTAATGCAACAGCCTAAAGGATAGTGACCTGGGTGGCAGTGCGAGCATTGCCTCACCTTGGATCAGACTGATTTAACTGACCAATTGTGTCGCAAATAACTCGGTTCTGCCCCCCTCCCCCAACATAAAGCTTGTCCGTCTAACATTAAGCCTGCCCCCCCAATAAATCCTGGCTATGCCCTTGGCTGCCACCATGTTATGCTTGCTGGTAAAATAATGTAAAGCCCTGACCCTCTCAGAGACAATCAAGCCAGTATAAAATGGAGAGGGTTTGAAAATACTGCATAGCTAGTTGGTTGCAGTTCTTTTTAAAAGTATTTTGCATGAAAATCAGTGAGCTCATACTGTTTATATACTTGTCATTGTGCTAGTTAGTATTGCTAAGTAACGCTGCTTATATACTTGCGGATTAAATATTTGCTCCTTGTCCACTTCTTCCTCGGGTGGCGCTGTGGTCTAAACCACAGAGCCTAGGGATTGCCGATCAGAAGGTCGGTGGTTCGAATCCCCGTGACAGGGTGAGCTCCCGTTGCTCGGTCCCTGCTCCTGCCAACCTAGCAGTTCGAAAGCACGTCAAAATGCAAGCAGATTAAAATGTACCACTCCAGCAGGAAGGTAAACAGCGTTTCCGTGTGCTGCTCTGGTTCGCCAGAAGTGGCTTAGTCATGCTGGCCACATGACCTGGAAAAACTGTCTGCGGACAAACGTCGGCTCCCTCAGTAAAGCGAGATGAGCGCCGCAACCCCAGAGTCGTCCGCGACTGGGCTTAATGGTCGGGGGTCACCTTTACCCACATCTTCCTAAGACCAACCAGTTCTTCTCTGCCCTCAGTGCAGGAGGGCACAGCTTGCCTGTGGAATACCATTTTTATCTTTTCCTCTGTTTAGTTTATGTGGATGATGAAGACAGTACTACCAGTGACAATGACACATCCGTAGACTGTGGTCCTAATTCTGTTTCATACAGTAACTCCAGCTGTGTCTGTGAAGAAGGATACAGGGAAATGACAACTTTGGGAACCAATCACACCAGTTGTGAGAGTAAGTGTGTTAATTCTCAGATCCTTTAAATGGCATCTACTTGAGCTGCACAGTGATGAAATTTGATATTCAGTCATTGCTAATGTCATAACCAATGGCAATACGCCATTATTTTTCTGTCAATGTTAAACTGTTTCTCAGAGGGTTTTAATTGTCCTTGTTTCAATTGGCTTCTTTATTGTATGTTTTAATAAATGATGTTTCATTCCTCTCTTATTGAATTGCTATTGTGTATTATAATCACGAATGAATGTCCTAATTGATTCTATAGTTGTAAACTGCTTACAAGCCATTCTGGAATGCAAGAAGTATATAAGTTAATAAATAACACTGGGGTTTTAGCCATCCCAAAGGGTAGAAAGTATTTCTTTATTATCAATAAAATCCTAATTCTGTAGGTGGAAAGATGGTGCAGCTGTCAGGATCAGAAGCCGAAGCTCTTTAGGCACAGATATCAGCAGAGGATTGCTGGAAAACCTGGTGGGTTGAGGGTGGGGGCTACAATATATTCTTCACACATAGCAGTCTTCTCTTACACATATAAGCTTAAATGATTATTATACAAAAGCAATCCATGCTAAAAGTGTTTAGTATTTAGAAGCCTAAACTCTTTTAGACCCCAGTTCAATACATTCAGAAATAACTAGAAGATATAATTTTTGATCAGAAAAAATGGTGGCACAATCTGTCATCTCCAAACACATAACAAGCACACAAATCGTACAAGTTTACATGGAGCCCATGCATTGCATGTTAGTTGTACATTATGTTTTCTTTACAGAAATTCCCTACCACTGCCAACCAGATATTGTAAGACAAAATGGTGGTCTAGGGGTGTGTTTCAATGCAACAAAACCAGAGGTATGTGTGTTGTGATATGTGTGAAATTAACACAGTTCTGTAAATCTGATATGCTTAACCTTACTGGGTTGGTTGGTATGCTAACACTGTCAATGTTTCTTCTTTGAAATGCAAATGGTGATTCTCCCCACTAGAACAGTAGTGCTAAATGCAAATTAGATGTTTTCATTGTTAGCTAACTCACTCTCATTCTCCAAATCTGTTGAAAATTGAGGGAACTGCAGGGAAGGAGGAAATTGGACAAGGAAAATGCTTGATTCATGTTCTACTCACATGGAACACATAACGAAAATCCTGTGCTAAGCATGTGTGGGAGGCAACCTGCTTATGATTTCTATATGCGGAGCTAATTACTCTATATATCCTCGATATTCATATATATATATATGTATATATATATATATATAGTATATATTTTGTATTGCTCATTGTTTTAAAGTTTACTGGTTGTAAAATGATTTTGTTGTATTCTATCTTTGAGACTTTTATGTTCGTCACTAATAAATGTAATAAAAATTATTATTATTATGTTCCAGACCTCACTCTGATGTTAAAGGCAGGGTGTGTTAAGAAAGGGGTTGGGGGAGGGTTGTGAAAGAACCACTGTTTTTGTGAAGAGCTGCTGGAAGGAAAGGGAGGAAACTGAAATAGGTCTTATCTGCCCAACATCTCTGTGAAGTAAGTTTGGCTGAGAGATAATGGGCAGATCCACCCCATACATTTACAACGTATTCAATGGACAATAATCAACACGACTTCCTTCACAAAATCCTGGGAACTGTTGTTTGTTCAGAATTCTGCAAATTGTAACCCTGGGAGGGGGAACTACAGTTCCTAGAATTCTTTGGGGGAAATAATTTGCCTTAAATGCACAACTGATCTGCCCAGCAACATGGCCAAAGCTCTCCTAGTGAGCGTCATACCTAAGAGGGGATTTGAATCTGGGTGTCTCTAATCCTAGTGCAACCATTATAACCACTATTTGGCCCAGCAAAATATTTTCTGCTCATGCCTGGGGCAATATCAGACCATTTGACTTAACCCAGCCTATACTACTTTTTGGGGGTATTTCATTGTATTTCCTTGTCAGCTGATCTCTGCCAACACGCATTTCTTCTCTTCTCTTAGAATTACTTCAGCCATAACAACAGTTACTACTGCTCAGTGGTGGGGCCAGCCTTCAATGTTTTTTTATCCTTCTGTGAAAATGGCAGTGTGATACCAACTTCCTTGCAGGTAAGGCTTCCCAAGAACTGAGGCAACATTTGGCCACAGCATCTCCTTCCTGAGAAGTTCTGTGCCTTCCTGTTTGCAAGACTGTGTGGTTTCCTACTGTGTACTGTGGTCAGTGAAGGATGGGTGGCTCTATGACAGTTTACACAGACAAGGCTTTCAATGTTCAAAACTGTTTAATTTCAAACAAATAAAAATATGGAGATCATGTGGCCCTGCAGATGTTATTGGACTAGAATTCCTATCATCCTTACCCATTATCCATGGGAGAAGAATACAGAAAAAAAGGTAATATTTTTTGATCTTGAAGTGGTCTATGTAGTTGATATTAAATTGTAAATTTTGTTGTTGTTTCACAATTAAAGAACAGACAGACAGGTAGATATTTTCTTTTGCTCTAGGATAATGTACACCCATTGAGCCGTACAAAATCTACTGTGCTATGTACATATTCTGAGAATTCATTCATTCATTCATTGAATTTTTATACCGCCCTATACCTGGAGGTTTCAGGGCGGTTCACAAAAAAGATCACAATATATGAAAATAAAAACAATAATCCAATAACACTCCCCTCCCCAAAGAGTCACATTTTAAATTTCAGCCAAATTTCAGCCAAAGGCCTGGTTAAAAAGGAATGTTTTTGCCTGGTGCCTAAAAGTGTATAATTAAGGCACCAGGCGAACTTTCCTGGGGAGAGCATTCCACAAACGAGGAGCCACTGCAGAGAAGGCCCATTCTCGTGTTGCTACCCTCCTGCCTCTCTTGAAGAACTGATTGTAAAAAGGCAAGCAAGGTTTTGAATTGTCATGTTGTTTCTTTGCTTCTTGTAATGCTGCAGGACACAGTGGGCTCCGTTGACAAACTTCTTGTCAGCAGTTCCCTACAGAGTATTGAAACAAATGAGGAGCGTGTATCAGCTGTGACATTGGTTTTGGACGGACTGGCCTCAACCGCAGTTGCAAAAGCTATTGCATCTCCAGAGCACCAATCTCAGACTGTGGTTACTAACTCAATAGGTAAGGAGAATTGTCCATGGAGTTTTCTTGGCAGGGATACTGGAGTGGCTAGTCGTTTCCTGCTCCAGGTGGATCACGTTTAGTCAAAACTCTCCACTATGACCTGTCCATCTTGGGTGGCCCTGCACGGCATAGCTCATAGTTTATCTGAGTTGTTCAAGCCCCTTCGCCACGACAAGGCAATGATCCAACTACCACACAATTGCGCTCATTTCACATGCTAGCAAGGTTATGCTTAAAATTCTACAAGGCAGGCTTAAGCAGTATGTTGACCGAGAACTCCCAGAATTGCAAGCTGGATTTCGAAGGGGCAGAGGAGCCAGAGACCAAATTGCAAACATGCGTTGGATTATGGAGGAAGCTAGAGAGTTCCAGAAAAACATCTACTTCTGTTTCATTGACTATGCAAAAGCATTTGACTGTGTTGACCACAGCAAACTATGGCAAGTTCTTAAAGAAATGGGAGTGCCTGATCACCTCATCTGTCCACTGAGAAATCTCTATGTGGGACAAGAAGCTATAGTTAGAACTGGAAATGGAACAATTGATTGGTTCAAAATTGGGAAAGGAGTACGACAAGGCTGTATATTGTCTCCCTGCTTATTTAAGGCTGGACTGGATGAATCCCAAACCGGAATTAAGATTGCCAGAAGAAATATCAACAACCTCAGATATGCAGATGACATAGCCTTGATGGCAGAAAGTGAGGAGGAATGAAAGAACCTTTTAATGAAGGTGAAAGAGGAGAGCGCAAAATATGGTCTGAAGCTCAACATCAAAAAAACTAAGCTCATGGCCACTGATCCCATCACCTCCTGGCAAATAGAAGGGGAGGAAATGGAGGCAATGAGAGATTTTACTTTATTGGGTTCCATGATCACTGCATATGGTGACAGCTGTCACAAAATTAAAAGATGCCTGCTTCTTGGGAGAAAAGCAATGACAAACCTAGACAGCATCTTAAAAAGCAGAGACATCACCTTGCCGACAAAGGTCCGTATTGTTAAAGCTATGGTTTTCCCAGTAGTGATGTATGGAAGTGAGAGCTGGACCATCAAGAAGGCTGATCGCCGAAGAATTGATGCTTTTGAATTATGGTGCTGGAGGAGACTCTTGAGAGTCCCACGGACTGCAAGAAGATCAAGCCTATCCATTCTGAAGGCAATCAGCCCTGAGTGCTCACTGGAAGGACAGATCCTAAAGCTGAGGCTCCAATACTTTGGCCACCTCGTGAGAAGAGAAGACTCCCTGGAAAAGACCCTGATGCTGGGAAAGATGGAGGGCACAAGGAGAAGGGGACGACAGAGGATGAGATGGTTGGACAGTGTTCTCGAAGCTACCAACATGAGTTTGATCAAGCTGCGGGAGGCAGTGGAAGACAGGAGTGCCTGGTGTGCTCTGATCCATGGAGTCACGAAGAGTCAGACACAACTAAACGACTAAACAATAACAACGGAGAATTAAGAGGGCTTTCAAAGCAGCAGCAGCAGCAGCAGAAGAAGAAATGTTTTGTTTGTCTTCATTTTATATTGCTGAAACCCAGTGGATAAAATTCTGCTTCTCCTTTCCTTCCTTCTTTCTGTTTCCTTGTATTTCTGTTGTGATGCTAACAGAAAGCCATGATTGGGGATTTTTTACCAACTATATTGGAAAGTTGAGAAGGAAGGTTTGGAGATTTCGAGAGATTTGTCACACATAGGGATGGAAGAGAATTCTGTTTGGTCTGCACTTTAAACAGAACATACATGATTTGCAGTTAACATACATTGAGTGGAACACAGTTAAAAACTCCCCTGCATACAAAGGGGGTTGGGGGATGAGTACAAAATGTGTATATTAGGAGAAAATGGATGAAACCACACAAACATTTTTCTTCTTCTTCAAAAAAAGTGCAGTAAATGGGATGGAACAGACTTATTATTGAATGCATGTGAAACTGACTTAAATGGAAATAAGCTGATCCATACACCCCTAGCCATTTATAGTGATGGGTGAGCTCTCAATGGCTAGATCGGGAATGAGCAAGGCTTTTTGTGAACTTTCATGGTTAGTGTTTGGAAAAGTCGGTGTTTCATTATTTGTGTTTCATGACATGTGTGCTCCTGCCTTCATATCTGTTGTTGCGGTCCCTTCTGGGATTTGCTTTTTCATTGTCCTACAAACACATAGTTAGTCATCATGATGTGTATCTAAGAACCCATGTCTCTTCTTTGCTCATTGTAGTGATCCAAACCCACATAATCAGTGAAGAGTTTATTTCAAAAAATGAAGCTCTGCATTTAGAGGCTCAAGAAGACCAAATGACCATTGATCCCAGAGCAGTGATTGACAGGATCACCCAAGGTATGCTTTCTGCTCATTTCTCAGATAACACTTGTTCAAGATAAAGAATAGCAACTTATCACAGTGCTTCTAAATCCCTTAGAAAAGTACCTTGAATATTCTCTTTCTTCAGACACACCAAACTTTTTACTATCTTTACCATGTACTTTTAACTAGTTTCATTGACTGTCAGCATCAATTTGACCTGTATTTCTCAGCAGTAAAAAAGTGCAACCTAATTGTACGTATTTGAGAAGGAGGTCCAGTCTTCAGGTACAAACCACTGGCCCTGGCTGGGAAATGAGAATCTGGGACTTGTGGCAGGACAACTAGAAAATATCCCTTGTGGCTGGCATCAGGATGTGGTGTCCCTGTGCAGGGACAAAGAGTGCATTGTGCAGACAGCAGCATGGGAAATTTATATGTGTGGAATTGCCTAAGGGAAATAAGGTTAGAAGGATTTGCTGGAAACACGATCTGAACTAGAATACAAAACTGGGAGGTGAGAGGAGGTCATGGAAATAAGTAAAGGGAAAAGGCTATGTAAAGGTCTAATTTGTTTTTGTTTTATTGTAACTCAATGTATTTTTATATTTTTTGTTAAGTTTTCTTTTTTATTGTATCTTATTGTTCTTTTTTACTTGTTTATTTCTTACTTTGTTATGGTTAATGATTTTTTTTGTATTTTGTATGGTTTTTCTTTTTCTTTTTTGTAACTTTAAATCTGGAATAAATATTATTTATAAAAAAAAAAGGAATTGCCTAAGGGACAATCACTCTTACAAACACTCTATTCTACCAAAGAAAAGTACATGTGTGTATACCGAGGCAATCTTTGGTATGTGACATGTATTTTCACTATTCTGCCTCCGACATTCCTTCTGTCTCTTGCAGGTCCTGTCGCTGTGGCCTTTATGTCATACAGTGGACTGGGATCACTCCTGAGTGGGATTCTTCTGCAGGATGAGACTCAGCAGAGCAGGGGAATTCTGGGAGAAATCTTCCACATGAACTCCAGGATGCTAAGCGCTTCCACCAGCCGCTGGATGAGGAATATTTCCAGCCCTGTCAACCTCACCTTTCGTCACCTTGAGGTGAGTAAATGAATTCTGTAGAGGAGATCAGGGAAGTGTTTTTTCTGTTCATATTGTGAATATCTATTAAGACGTGAGAGAGACCCCTCCCCCAATGTCAAGGAAAATGTAGAGCTGGGACAAGACCCTCAGCTGAACTCCCTGTATACATCCAAGCTTTGCTCCCTGACACTCAGATTCACAGGCAGGTATCCTAGTTTATCAGAAATGTTGTCGTAGACATACCGTAGTTCATTCTGTTTGTCATGTATTCTTTACCTGTTACTTTGCGGCTCCTATTCTTTGCACCAGAAAGACGCATAACTTTCAGTGGACTTTCTCCAGATCTTCCTCCAACCCTTCCCCTTTCTTACAGAATAAAGTTCCCCAGGAAAAAGTGGTTTGTATCCACTGGGACTCTGCAAGCAGAAGTGGTGCCTGGTCCCCTGAGGGCTGCCAGCTCCTCCAGTCTAACAGCACTCATTCAGAATGCAGCTGTCAGTACCTGTCCAACTTTGCTGTGCTGATGGCCCCCACTCCCAAGCAGGTAAGTCAGACTTAGGCCTGACAATGTCTGAGTTCCCTGTTGGAGGAAAGAGTGAAAGACCAGACCCTAAGTCACCACTAATCCATTTGTTTTGGGTCCTGTTATAGTACCGTATTTCATGGATTAGATAGTGTGAGGCTACTCCAGAGTTAGTGGTGGAGAAACACGTTCATAGAATACTTCTGCAAACTGCTGCAGGTTTCTCTGTCATCATTAATGGTTAAAAGGGCAATTCAGACACCTGATGTGCCACACTGGTGAGGGGGTGGAATCAGGCTGAGGTGCTGCACACCAACTTTTTATTGTATTTAAGGCATAACTATTAGGTTTAATAGATAGATAGATAGATAGATAGATAGATAGATAGATGATAGATAGATAGATGATAGACATTTCAGCAAGATGCTCAGGATCACTTTAATTTCCCTTATGGAATCACTGGAGCTTGTGGAAGCTGAGGATTTTGTTCCTTTATGGAATCGAAATCTGCTAGATGAAGTGTAAAAAAACCATGTTTATCAAAAGTCAGTTTTTGGTTCTGAGAGCCACTGTCCTGTGTTACAGGGAGCTCTGATCCTCTCCATTATCAGCTACATTGGACTGAACATCTCGCTCATCTGCCTCTTCTTGTCCATTGTTACCTTTCTCTTTTGCCGCTCCGTCCAAAACAGCAGCACCTTCATCCACCTGCAGCTGAGTTTGTGCCTCTTCTTTGCAGACCTCATCTTCTTAATCGGAATTGACAAAACACAGAACAAGGTATTTTGGCACATCCTTGAAGGATATGGCAGAGACTCGATAACTCTGCTCACTACCCCATCCAGTCATGCACTCTGATCCAAAGCAGTACAGGATTCTAGTACTGAGTACTGACAAAAGGGCGCCTTTTATTTCCATTCCAGATCCTGTGCTCGGTCATAGCTGGGACTCTGCACTACCTCTTCCTGGCCTGTTTTGTGTGGATGTTCTTGGAAGGTGTGAACCTCTTCATCATCGTCAAGAACCTGAAAGTGGCAAATTACGGCGGTACCAGCAAGTGCATGAAAATATCCATGTACCTCTGTGGCTATGGGCTCCCTGCCATGATAGTTGGCATTTCTGCAGCAATTTCACCCGGGTCCTATGGGACCCATTATCAGTAAGTGTCCGTTTTAGAATATAGGGAGGCAGGGAGATCTGCAAAGGTCACCCTTTGAAGTCCTCTGTTTAAAATAATTGGATTGCCCATGTAACTAGTGCACCTCAATCTTGAATGTATTTACTGATGGATTTTATTATCACTCTACAGACCCAGGTTTGTGGGCTAACAGACACAAAGACCAGCTAAGGTTTTCCAAGCCCTTTCCACACACCCCAACACAATAAGGAAGTGGTAACTGTGATCTTAGTTAGAACGTCACTGGGCAGATGTGGATCCCACCTTCCCTGCAATCTCTGGATCCTCCTCCATCTATATTCAAATGGACATACTGGGCATTAGACATAAAACAGAATCAATCTGCATTGGGTTTCTATTTTCAGAATGAAACTACATTTATGAAAAAGTGTTTTTGAGGGGTATATAGTGAGGAATAGTTCCAGACTGTGTGGACTAGTTAGGGGAAAACAAACAAACAAGCTGAGTGAACACTGAATGTAGACTATATAATGTTGTGTACATGTAGCCGTGTTTTCAGGTGTAACTGCAGTTTTGGTGTTTGTGGGTTTTCCAAAAGTTATGTTGATGGTATTTCTTTTTCCTTAGCTGCTGGCTTAACCATGAGAAAGGTTTTATCTGGAGCTTCCTGGGACCTGTCTGTGCCATAATCGTGGTCAGTAAAAATAGCTCTCATTCTCTAAAAATAACAGGAAAATGGGGCAAAAACACAAGAAAACACAGACTGCTTGTTGAACATCTCCCTGCTTTATAACTGCTAAAGGAAAGGAAATCTTTTATGGGCTGAGGTGCAGAATTCATAATTCTTGTTGTCAGCCAGATCTAGGCCAGGTCTTTGGCTTCATCTAATACTTGAAAGGAGTCCTGAGAGTTACTTCTATATTTGCCCTCATGCCTTCAGTTTAATTAGTTATCAATAATGTGCAATATCTCCTTTTTGCTACACTGATATGGGCTACAAATAATTTTGCAATGTCACTAGAAACTTTTTCAAACTGATAGTGAATCTGCATCACTCATCTAGAAGCTGGATATGAATAAAGTGAATTCCAGAGAGTTTGTTCATTGAAATGTCATCCTGATTGGTTTTCACAATATTTGCGGGAAGGTTATACAATGACCCAGTTTATTATTTCTGCTTAGTTCATGGAGCAGTTACATGAGTTACCAGTACATTGCCCCATCATTTTATTTCTTGCAAAAGGTCTGGTGTGTGTGTGTTTTACAAGTGGGTTTATTGCATGTAAGTACCAAATTTGTTTTCATTGCCCAACATAAATTTACTGCTTTGCAATTGAACCCCACTCACAAAATGCAACAGTCCTAAGAATTATGCTTCACATTTTCCCGTGGAGCACTTTTTATCCTTTCTCAAATTATTTTTCTTTTTCTCAGATCAACATTATGTTTTTCTGCCTTATTCTGATGATCTTGCGTATGAAACTTGCATCTCTCAATTCTGAGATAACTACCCTCAGAAATACGAGGTAAGATAAACCACATAGTAGTGCAAAACCCAGCTGCCCAGTTTTAAGTGGTGATTTAAAAAACTGGACTTAGTGATTTGGCACCTGAGTTACTGGAACACTTCACACATTATAGCAAATCTTAACTGCTTTCCATTGCTACCCACAACTTTTCCAAGTCTTATGAAGCTTTGGTTTCCTTCTATTAAACATGAGTGAAGAACATGTACTTTCAAGGACAGCCACTGAGAAAAAGAGGATTGTCTGGGATTCGTTCAGATAATACAACTTCCCAGTACTGCCCTTACCTTTTCATGACATCCATGCTGTTGCCTTCCTCTTTTGTAGGTCACTGACATTTAAGGCAATGGCCCATGTATTCATCCTGGGTGTGACTTGGTGTCTAGGCCTCTTTCAGTTTGGCCCTCTGGCTGAGGTAATGGCATACCTGTTCACAATCACCAACAGTGTGCAGGGATTCTTCATCTTCCTGGTGCATTGCTTGCTGAACAAGAAGGTAATGTATGGAACAAGAGAGGGCAGCACTTAGAGCAAGCAATATCAAATAAAATGTGGGGCAATAGGATACAAGTGTCATTTAAATTCTACTCAATATTGATCCAGAGCAGATTCCAACATATACTTAGCGGAGTAAAAACTTAGACCAGAGGCAATGAATATTTCATCCAGCAGAGCTTTACTGCTATTGAAGGCAAATGAGCATAATGGTCTCAAATCCAATACATTCAGGATTGGCACTGTCCATAAGAAATCCAGTTGCAGCAGACTTAACTTAAACTTACAATACTTATAATAAGTTTTAAACTCAACACTAACCCACAGAACACCACACCAGACAGAAAAGAGATAGAAAGAGAAAGTAAGTGAAACCCAGGCGCCTTCTGGCCCTACTATTATAGTCTGCATGACCTTGACAGAAAGAGATAACAGAACCAGTTTAAACCAGCTGTACTCAGCTTCTCAAACATCATGAAGCTTCTTTCACACAGAGAAGCTTCAAGAATCCTCTTGAGCTAAGTAGAATAGGAAAGATCTCTGCACATCAGATCAATACTTTCTGTACTAAGAAATGTAAATTGACAATAAGATATAACTTAGTGCAAATTTTCAAGGCTGACTCCTGGTGGACCATTGAACAAGGGACAATTTTGTTCCTTGCTCCCTGCAATACTCACTCCAAAGAAACAGAATGAGGTTGGCAGCCAATACTGAGCAGATCAGCTCTGCAAGTGCACCTTGGGTTCAGAATCAGAAACTTCCTTCCTCCTCCTCCTCTTATGATTCCCCAGTGACCATTTATATTGCTACTACAGGTATTCAGAACTAAACTCCTCACTTTTGACAGTGTTTGTCCCCTTCCTTCTCTTAACTGGTGCAAGTGGAATGACTTTATGAAGCCTAATTAAGAGTATATAAATCACATCGAACAATTTGCTTCAATTTGGCTGGCTGTTACATGCATGCAATAGAGGTTATGCTCTAGTGCAGGGATGGGGAACCAACAGTCTGGGAGCTATTCTGGGTTTATTAGGTATCCAATTTGGCATGTGAGGAGGTCATTTCCCCCAAAATGCACCCACCTACCCATCAGGTGATGATGTCAGATGATGGTTGGGAGGGCAATGTTTAATCCTGCCTTGGCTGTGTGCCCTGTTCCCAGGAGGAAAAAGGTTCACACAGCCAAGGCACTAGGGTTTAATCTCTGCTCATCGTCTGATGATAGGGATTAAATCTTGCTCAAAAGCACAGTTTGAAGCAGCTCATGCTTCTATGAAGTGAGTGGCTGGGCAACTGTGACAATACCCTCCCCTAGTGGTGCTGCTGCTGCCTGCCTGCTTGCATGGGAAGCATACAAGCTACTTCAAAGAGTGCTTTTGAGAAACACTTTGAAGTAGCCTCCACAATCCTCTTTCAGCTCTAATGTCGGTGCAGAAGCTGCCTTAAAGTGCTTCTCAAAAGCTCTGTTTGAAGCATCCTCATCTCCATGCATTTGTTTAAAGGTTATTGCAGCGATGGTAGATGGTAAAACTTAACCTGTGCCATTCTGTTTTCTTTCTTTTTGTTCTGCACTCTCATCTTCATATAACCTAATTAAGAGTGTATAAATCACTTTTAATAATCTGTCCCATTTTGCTTGCTTGTTATATGCATGCAACTGTTGGGATACTGCCAGGGAGATAAAGTCCATCATGGCCCCCAAGCCGGCTGCCGGATGATCCATCGATCTCCCATAGACACGCAGTATCAGCAATTAGCGGCATGAGCTCAAGAACGTTCTAGAGCCGATGCACACTCTCTATCAGCAGATAATGCACAGCAGAAGTCGCACTCAGGAGAGCATTATTTACAAGTTTATTCAGCGTTGATCAGAACAAAGAAAAACATGACTGCCTGCATCAGTGTCTCCAGACACAGAGAGAGAAACGAAAGCAACAGAAAACATAAACATCCTGTGAACAGAAAATGCGCAGACTCTGACTCACAAAGCCTGCTCCCTTTTTAGGTGGAACGGAAATATCCTAACAGCAACATAGGCTATGCTTTAGTGACTGCAGAGTCTAGGAGGGTTTGACTGAGGCTAGAACTTTAGTCAGCAGCTAGCATCTGCACTACTCTGTTCCCTCTTTTTTTTCCTGGCAGTTTTTCACTCTCCACTGTGCAATCAGGCAATACTGGAGTTCTCATGAGCGAGGACTATGAGCACAACCCTGAGATTTATTTTAGAGAAGCAAGGAGAGGGAAGACAGGATGTAGTTAAGAGAGGGCCTGAGAGTTAAGATGAGAAACAATAGGTTGAGAGTGGGGAGAAGCAGGAGAAAACTGAACATTGTGAATGTATTGGAAACGACAGAAAGGATGTGTGATAGAAGGAAAAGCATATAGCCACTGAGACACTTGAAAGGAGATGTGGTGTTGGCTAGAGAGGCTCATTCCAGAGATAGATCAGAAAAAGAACAATAGGCTCAACAGAGACGGTTCAGACCTGCAGCTGTGAATCACTGAGTGATGAGGCATCAAACAAAGTGTTAACAAGTGATGTACAAGTTTAGGTAAAACAGCCCTCTGTGGAGGATGGGGTCAAAGACAGGCCCCAAATAGGGAAGACTAAAGATGGATATCAAAGGAGGCACTGAGAAAAAGAGGAAACGATGGTCACTAGTGTGAATACTGAAGTACTCAAGAAGGAAGGGCATACATCAAAATCTGAAAGGAAAAATCAAATAGGAGAGGGGCAGTGGGGAAGAAACAAGCATATACTTCAAAAGGAAAATTAGTTTGCGGAAAGTGTGACATGGGGCAATTAAATGGGGAGAGGAGAAAGGTTAGATAGTCACAATTGTCAGCATCATGTGAGAAGAAGAGGCAGCGATGCAAGGGAGTGTTTTTATGGGGAGACTAGAAATCTTTTCCTAGTAGCTTTGTATTTTGAATCCTCAGGTAAGAGAAACATACTGGCGTTTGATTTCTTGCAAGAAAGATATCAAGTCTCCTGCTTCTGACATGACGATGACTTCTGTCCCCATCACCAATCCCATGGTAAGAAAGGTGCATAATCCAGATATCTTAGCAATAATGATATGGTTACCCTTGCTTCCGCCATGTATTCATGGCATTCCATAGGATATCTGCACATTTAGGGGGCAGATATGCTTCTCCAGCACATGCCATCCTCCTAGTAGAAGCATAATCTCTCCACAGATTGTAGCTGGGAGAAGTTAGCTGGGCCATCATCTGGGTATCATATGCCTGGCTAGAAAGAGTAATGCTGATGCAGGTTCTGAGATGTCTATGATTTCTGTACCTGTCAGTGTCCCCATGGTAAGACAGATGCATGATCCAGACATTTTCTCTAACCAGCAGTGATATACCGTATTTTTCGCACCATAGGACGCACCGGTCCATAGGACGCATTAAGTTTTTTGGGGGGGAAATAAAGGAAAAAAAATTATTTCCCCCCCAGGCACTTGTGGGGCCGGCAGCGGGGAGAAGCGCTCTTCTCCCCGCAGTCCGCCTTCAGATCAGGTCCGGGGACAGCGGGAAGACGCGCTGCGTCTCCCTGCTGTCCCCGGAGCTTGGGGGCAGGCAGCGGGGAGAGCGCTCTTCTCCCCGCCGCCCGCCTTCACATCAGGTCCGGGGACAGCGGGAAGACGCGCTGCGTCTCCCTGCTGTCCCCGGAGCTGGGGGCAGGCAGCGGGAGAGCGCTCTTCTCCCCGCCGCCCGCCTCACATCAGGTCCGGGGTCCGCGGGAAGAAGGGCTGCGTCACCCTGCTGTCCCCGGGGCATTGTGGCAGGCAGCCGGGAGTATCGCGCGTATCCCCCCCGCCCGCCTTCACATCAGGTCCGGGGGCAGCGGGCAGACGCGCTTCGTCTCCTGCTGTCCCCGGAGCTGGGGCAGGCAGCGGGGAGAGCGCTCTTCTCCCCGCCGCCCGCCTTCACATCAGGTCCGGGGACAGCGGGAAGGCGCGCTGCGTCTCCCTGCTGTCCCCGGAGCTGGGGCAGGCAGCGGGGAGCGCTCTTCTCCCCGCCGCCCGCCTTCACATCAGGTCCGGGGACAGCGGGAAGACGCGCTGCGTCTCCCTGCTGTCCCCGGAGCTGGGGGCAGGCAGCGGGGAGAGCGCTGCTCTCCCGCCGCCCGCCTTGATATCAAGTCCGGGGACAGCGGGAAGACGCGCTGCGTCTCCCCGCTGTCCCTGGAGCTTGGGGGCAGGCCGCAGGGAGAAGCGCTCTTCTCCCCGCCGCCCGCCTTCAGATCAGGTCCGGGGACAGCAGGAAGACGCGCTGCGTCTCCCCGCTGTCCCCGGAGCTTGGGGCAGGCAGCGGGGAGAAGCGCTCTTCTCCCTGCCGCCCGCCTTCAGATCAGGTCCGGGAACAGCAGGAAGACGCGCTGCGTCTCCCAGCTGTCCCCGGAGCTTGCGGGGCCGGCGGCGGGGTCTCCCCGCCGTCAGCCTCCAAACCACTTCGGGAGACAGTGGGATGGCGGCGTTCCGCCTCCCTCTGTCCCCCGACCTTGTGGGGCTGGCGCTGGGGCTCTCCTGAGCCTGGAGAGCGAGAGGGTCGGTGCGCACCGACCCTCTCGCTCTCCAGGCTTTAGTGAGCCTGCATTCGCACCATAGGACGCACACACATTTCCCCTTCATTTTTGGAGGGGAAAAAGTGCGTCCTATAGTGCGAAAAATACGGTAGTTAACCTTGCATCTCTCAGCCCCGTAATATTCACAGAATTTCACATTCTTAGGACATCTGCCCTTTATAGGTGACGGATTTGCTTCTCCAGGACATTTGTTCCTCCTACTATGAAATACCATCTATTCACAGATAGCTGAGCTGTTGTGGGATTATTATATACCTGGCCAGAAGGAGCAATGCTGGTGTAGGCTCTGCATGATGTTGTACCTTCATTTCTGGGAGTTTTTCTCCACCTTTCTGGTTCAGCAGTAAATTGCTGAGTCAAGTGAAACCTCAGTGCAACCTCAATGAACTCTAGAGAGCAATCAGAGCTCTGCCTGTAATAAAAAACATCACTTTGACCTGTCCTGTGCTGGACATTTTGAAACTTTCTTTTTCAACCATTCATTGCAAGAGAATGAAAGACTCCCAAAATATCATGGGGGTGGGGAAAGGAAATTTGCTGGAAGTTTTGAGAGGGGTTTCCTTTCTTTAACTTCATCAGGTGGCCAAAGGTTTTCTTTTTTACAAGCTTTTTTTTAAATCCCATTCTGCTGAAATGGTGCAAAGCTCTTACTGCAGCTTCCCACTGGCCACACCCACTGGAAGGGAATTTCAGCCCAGCCTTAATTTCAGGCTCATATTTTAATAAACTATTTGGTTTATAACCCTAGTACTGATCACTGCCTTGCAGGGTTTAACAGAGAGGAACATGATGGGAGGAACATGTTGTTCATTGTGCAGCCTGGAGCTCGCACAGCAATTGCGCCCTAATTGGTCCCAATACCATCGCGTGATTGCAGTGCAGCCAACTTGGGATGCAACAGATTTTATAGATCCAGTATTTCATGGAATGTTTCGTAGGAAATGTGTTCAGATATTATGGATTACAGTTTTTTAAAGGACTGTTTTTTACTATTAGAGTTGCAGGTTGAGTGTTGTAGAAAATTCTCCCTGCTGTTAAATGCTGGTTTCTTAAAGGCTGAAGTGGCCGATAGGTTTCTGTGTTAAAGGTAGACAGACTCACATATTCTGAATTTTGCACTCTTTTGCTTATGTATCATAGCCTGTGACCTAAGGAACGTCTTTCCTTATCTTTTCCAGAGGAAAGAGGAAAGCACTGCTTCAGGGAATCAACAGATGGTGGGATGGGGGACAGAGCCATAATCAAATACCATGTTTTGGTCTCTTCCTTCTGCATCCAAAATACAACTGAATGAAACTGGACGAACTACAGGAATTTTTCATATCCAAGCAATTATTCCTTGTTTGGTTGCCTTCCAGCTTTTTAATGTACCAGGATTAAAAAAACCATGGAAATCCTCATATTCAAGACATTTCCTATTACTATTACGATACACTGTAGATCTCAAACACTCCTGTTGCCCGTTGAAGTTTTAGGTAATAGAAGATGATGAGCTTAACAAAGCAATGGACATTGATTGAACCAACAGAGGAGAAGACTCATGGCTGTCACTGGGACTGCTTCATAGTGTCTTGGCAACAGTACCCTAATGGCAATAACTACTTACTTTAGGTAGCAGTGATCAAGTCTGTACCTATATATTCATATTCATATTCTGGCTGAGGCCTTTGAGGCAAATTTTCCTTCGAAACCCAGGTTCTCACAAATATTTGGGAACAGAAGAAAAGCTCCGCTAATAATTTCACCTGCTGTCACTTGAGATGAAATATGTATACATATATGCATACATACATACATACACAAATACGATGATTCTTGAGTGTGGAGAGAGAGAAAAACACCAGGAAACACTGAAAACACTTGTTGTTATTTATTTTCTTTCCCTTTCCTGCCCCCCTTGTTGACATCGGAAATGGCGCCCTATCTTAACTCAGATTAACTATAGGATTTCACACATGAATCGCAAAAAGCAAAACCTTAGCTTTGGGACATTTGAGATTCATAATTTTCAGATTGTACACTCTATGCCATATTAGCACTCACACCTGCAGGTTCTTAAAAGACACCATCCAGATGCTTATTTTAAAACAACACAATTGGAATCACTACTATTAGCTCAAATATCTTGCTATGAAGTTAAAATGAAATTTGGATAAGCTGATTACATGAACAGGCACAATTATTCTAGGTTGCCTTGGCAGCAAAACCTGTCTGTTTGCCCTGTCAAATGTACTATCGTATTCTCAAAGGTGCTTGTTGAAAGCCTTTGAAGACTTGAGACACTGCTGCCAGCACGAGCCTCTGAGTGACCCAAACCTCAGTCCAAATACCCCAAACCTGTATCTGAGCCAAAGACTCCCAGAACCCTGGCTAGCCATTTGGGACAATCCATCCTCGAACCACAAAGCTCCTCTGGTTGGAATTCTGACTGCTTGGACAGTCTGACCAACCAAAAACCCTCACAAATAACTTATCACCCCCTTTCTCCTCAACTGACAAATCTCAGCTATCCTACCAACAATTGACAGTTAACTCCCAACTGACTGGAACCACTAGTTGGCCAGCAAATGATTTTCTTCTCATGCTTGGAGTAATATTAGACCTTTAACCATGCCTGGGATCACTTAAATCACCACAACAGTTTCTACTGCTCAGTGATGGAGTCAGCCTTCCACCATCCCTCTGAGAAAATGACAGTGTGACACCAACTTCCTCACAGGTAAGGCTTCCTAAGAACTGAAACCATGTTTGGCCACAGCATCTCCTTCCTGAGAAGATCTGTGCTTTTCTTTTGCAAGACTGTGTGGTTTCCTTTTGTGTACTGTGGTCAGTAAGGGATAGGAGGATTTATGACACTTTACTCAGATTATGCTTCCAATGCTCAAAATTGTTTAATTAAGAAAAATGCAGGGAGACGATGTGGCCTTGAAGATGTCATTGGACTAGAACTCCTATCATCCTTATCCATTATCCATGGGAAAAGAATATAGAAAAACAGATAATATGTATCTGTTTTGAAGTTGTCTATGTTGTTTGTATTAGATTAATTGTGGAAAAACCACAAAAATATAAAGAATAGACAGGAAAGTACTTTGCTTTGCTCCAAGTTTCTCTCTCTCTCTCTCTCTCTCTCTCTCTGTGTGTGTGTGTGTGTGTGTGAGAGAGAGAGAGAGAGAGAGAGAGAACTAAGTCAAAATCTCTGCAGAACTTAGAGCTTACAGGAACCAGAGACTCCTATTTTCCTGCTGCTTTCCCCAGGGAAAACTGCTGTTTAGTGCTCAGTTGGAGCAAACGGCAATTTGGGTTTTCTCCGGGCTGATCTTTGCTCTGATTTGGCACTAAAGAGTGGGTTTTCTTTGGGAAAGGAATGGGACATGGGGGGAAAATGCTCTGAAGCATGCCTAGTAAGCATGGGTCAAGAAGAAAACCATTTGGACTCGTGCTTTCTAGTCATGGGAGAAGCAGAAGTGTGGATGAGCCTATATTCGAGTGATTCTGAGTGGGCCTTTGTCCTTCGCCTTTTCCCTCCCCTCACCTGCTCACTGACATCTGAAATGGCACCCCAGCTTCACTCACATTAGTTATAGGATTTTGTACATGAATCACTAAAAAAGAAGAAGATTTGGACAGTTTTTTTATTTGAAATTCATAATTTTCAGATCATATATGCCACAACAGTGCTACCAAATATTACTTTTTAAAGGACATTATTGGAGTTGCTATTATTAGCTCAAATACATGGCTATGAAGTTAAAATGCTATCTGCATAAGTCAATTAGATGAACGATTACAGCACTTGCTGTTGTTAAAAGGCACAATTATTTTAGATTGCCTTTGCCAGTCCAACTTGGTTGTTCTCCCGGTCAAAGATACTGTAGTATTCTCTGATGAACACATCTCCTAGGTTCCAACTGCCATCAGATGAGTATCCGAAACCACTAAAGCAGCCGCCTTGTTTCTCCTAGAGAGAAGGAAAAGGATAGTCATCACATGCAGGAGGTTCTACAAAAATTTCATCCCAGAAAGTAATTGGGTAACAATGCATACAGTAACATTCCAGTGCAAAGAAGGAAGAGTTTCTCCTGAAAAAGTCTCCAAAGGAGATAAATAATGTAGATACAACAACAGTACAATAGTAATAGTGCACAAGACTGTACATTATGTATTTGGTCTCTTAATCAACAGGATGATCTCCCAATCAATACAAGCCAGAGAACTGTACAAATAAGCAAAGTATTGAAAAGTGATAGGAATCCTCCACAATTCCAAAATGCTTTTTGCCTACAAAGGTAGTGGGTGGGGGTGGGGAACACTCCCATTGGAATCATGGGGACACAGGGAGGTGCCTTACGCTGAGTCAGACCACTGGCCCTCTAGAACAGTATTGTCTACAGTTCGACTGACTGAGTTTCATGCAGAAATCTTAGCCAGCCCTACTTGGAAATGCTGGAGATCTTCAAGTTGCAAAGCAAATGCTCTGCCACTGAGCTATGGCTCCTCCCTGTGGAGCTGATGAAGAGCACAAGAGAATGGTTTCCTATCTCCTCCCCTGCCTTGCCCCCTGCCACAAAGGCAGCATTCAAGTGAATGCAAGAGACAGTGACAGTACAGGTGTATAGCATGGGCCCATCCACATTCCTGTTTGGTCCATGGGATTTTGAAACTCTCTAGAATGCCTCATCACCACAAGGAGGAAACGAGGGGAGGAAAAATAGTGTTTGCTTCCACCTTTTGTCTTCTCTACAACTTCCATGCAAATACTTGGAACACCTGAGTGCTCCATAGATACATTGCTACATTTTGATGGAAGATGTAAGATGCGTCCTGAGGATGAGTGGGCACCCAGGTTTTGCACTAACGGGGATAGGGATAATTATTCTGTGGTCAGAGATAAAATATCTGTAGACAGAGATACAATACAATCAATAAATCATGTTGGTATGGAATCGGGATGTTGCTCAGCAGAACAGAGCCGTTATCCGAATTTGCATTGATTTTTTCCCTATCAGACATGCATGTATTAGCCCAGCATTTCTGACATTTTCAGCATATCTGATATTATTTCCCCCTAAATATTTATTCCATTTTTTCTGTTTTCAGCCCATGTGTTCATAAAGATTTTGCACTTTAAATCTGCCCCAACCCCTTTTGAATTTGCATTCTTATGGCAAGTAAATGAGATTTGAGAACGATTATGTACCTTAAGAGTATAGGCTGATGGAGGCAAAGGATAGTGGATTCCATTGATTACAAAAACAACATCTGGCATATTGGAGCGTTTACTGCAGTTGATTTCACTCTGAAAAAGATAAGGAAGAGAGCGGAGTTCTTGTGTTGCTCTGATGATGAAGGAAATGAACTGGCAAACCTCAAACTTGGTTAAGAAGTACAGTGGACTCGTTCCAGTGTCAATTTCAGGAAAGAACCTTAAGAGAGAAGTTGAGTATTCTGGACTTCTCTTCAGACCATCAAATGTAGCACACAGGTCTGAACAGTGCATTGTAGCACGGAAACAGGGCATCTAGCCAAAGATTGCAAACAAATAAACTCAAAGCTTTGAGTCCAGTCTTCATATCCCAAACCATCTCCTCTCAGTTCAGATGATACAACCATCCATTCTAAATTCTGCTCTGAGACCAAATTCCCCATTCTAAAGGCGATGATGACATGCTGAGATACTGAATCTGTATGTCTGTTCTTTCTTGAAATATACTGTTTGGGGAAAATAAAGATATCACAACTCTGAATACAACTATTTTGAGGAGAGGCAATGGTACTAGATAATAGCAGCAAAGCCTGCCCCCCTCTCTCTGCAGATGGAGTGCAAAAGAATTGTGCACATTTCATATTTGTACTGAAGAAGGACCTTCCGCAAGTTTAAGGTTGCATGACAAGGTACATCTGCTGAACTTCCTTCTTCTGCATAACTCTTAAAGGTCCTCTTTTGCCAAGAGCCAATAAACCCATGAAAAACATATCCTCACTTCAGCTAACTTTGTTAATTCAACATTAGGCCCATTTTTTCATTGGATGTCACACTGGTCCAGCCAAACCCCAGTTTGTTTCCTTTTCCTGCTCTTACCATTGCCTCTCCTTACTGCACTCTCACTACATACTCACAAAGCCTTGCTTGCCATATCCCCTATGCTCAGGCACATTAGTGTGCATGAGCAATGCCATGAAGTACTGTGAAGACTAGGACTGGGATGCAAGAAGGAATCCAAGGTCAAGCATAATCTTAAGCACCTTACTCTGCATGTATCTGAATTGTGAGCTCAGCTAATGATATGGGGTCTCTTTCAGCTACTGTGTGAAGACAATGGCCAGAAAGTAAAACTTACCATGCCAAAGTACGTTGGAGTGGCTCCAATGGCTTTTTCGATTTTAATCATATCATATTTTGGGCCAAGTAAGAGGGATGTCCCTGTATCAATGATTCCGTGGCATCCACCTTTGCAGGCAATCTCTGTACCATTCACTAAAACGCTGAGAAATGAGAAATCATTAGAGTAAGACATAGAACTTGCCTTGGATCAGACCACTGGTCCATCGAGCTCAATATAGTCTATGGTGAATGGCAGCAGCTCTCCAGGATTTAAAATGTGGGGTTCTTCTAACCACGTTTGGAGATATCAGTTATTAAACCTGGGATCTTCTGCATGCAAAACATAGGCCCTACCACTGACATACTATCCATCCCCAAACATGGACTTAAAACAAAATGGATAGTGGGATATGATAAGTGGTTTCAGGAAGCTATCCATCCCTATGCAGCTTAGGTTCTCCGTTGTACTAGCCAATATTACATCACATATTGGAAGCTGTAGAAGGTAGTAAAGCAAAATGCATGAACTATCGATTGTAAGGTCTTCAGGGCAGGAACCTGTCCTTATATACACTGTAGATCACCATCAACATAATAAATAAATAAATAAATAAATAAATAAATAAATAAAATGATAATAACATTGACAATTCATCCTAACAACTGACATCTTGCAAACACAAAGTAAACTGCATATTAGTATTTACATTTTATTGCAAATCCTTCTCTTCATTTCCTTTTGTGCCTTATATTTTTAGCTAGCCAATAACTAGGGCTGGATCTGCACTGATATGTAAAAACACAATAGAAGGATTTTATTTTAAAGTTACATAGCTCTCAATGTAATTTCCCATTGCCAACTGATTGCTTCTCTACAGCACAGCACTGGTGTCATATTTTTATAACACATTTTAATGTTATAACTGACCAGTATAGATTTGGCCAATGAATATTAGTCACAAAAATTTTCCAGTGTTATTGTAGACGGCAGCTACTTTCCCTTGTGGCAGTCCATATGTTAAGAATACCTTAATGCTACAACAACAACAACAACAACAACAACTAATAATAATAATAATAATAATTCCTGCTTACCTATCTAGTGCAATCTGCCAAAAACCAGACTGATAATTAACAGGTATCCAATTAATACGACCAGTAAAGTGAGATTGATCAATTCCACCAAAAATGAACTCACTTCCTCTTTTCTTTCTGAAACATGAATATATGGTGTGTTGTTACCAAGCCTTCAACTTCAGAGTAAGTTGAACTGCATGTTAAAAAACGAATGTATCATATTCTTGTACCTCTGTGCAAATTACTACCGAAAGAGGAAAAAAAGAAAGGAACATTCGTAATGCACCAGTATCTAATTGTGAACAATGAAGATTCTGAAACGTGAATGCTGTTAATACTGTATACTTTTCCTGTTTTGTTCTCCATATCACCATGCTTCCTGTTCTGCTTTGTACATCACACACTAACTTCCCCCTTCATAATCTTCATAAGATTTGTTCTTCCCTAATTGGTTTTCATTGTGATTTTAAGGAAGCCAGTTTGGAGCAGTGGAGGCCATTCTGCAGAAGGGGCCTCTACTCCACCAACCTCAGTTTACCTCCAGCCAGCCTCACCTGCCTGCCTGCTTGCTTGCTTGCTTGCTTGCACCCAGTCCAGGGAGTGTCATTGCCTGTGAGATGCCTTCCCCTCAGTCAGGCTTACTGCTGCCATTATATACACAGCAGGGAGGAGAATGTGGAAGAAAGCGAGAATTGGTTGTCTTTGCTTGTGACTGGCTCTGCTTCCACATACTGTTTGCCTTCCTGCCTTCTGCCCTAGAAAGGCTAGCTGACATCACTCCACCCTTCACTCTGGCCTTTGTCTGTCTAACTACTAGCAAGTAGAAGGAGGGGGTCCCACTTATTTGCTGGCTAGCACAGAGATCCTTCCTTTGTTGCCTGGATAACTCATCACCTAGGCTATCACTTCAGCAAAGAAGCTAGCCTAGCTATTCCAGGAATTCGAATCCTTGATTAGATTTTAACACTTGTTGGATCCAGGAATTAAAAGGGTCTTGCCATACAGCCTACGCCTCTCACAACTCATAACATTTTGCTGACTACTTGACCTTAGAAATAGTCAGGTGAAAAGGTCTTTGTAATGCTGTCCTCCCATTATTCTGGATGGGGTACCGTTGCAATTGGGAACAAAGATTCCATAAGTGGTTTTAGGTAGGAGGGTCTCAAGGTGATCCAATATTAAATTAAAATCAAAAGCGATGTGAGCTATACTGATGAGATATAATCTAATTTCCTATTCTGCATTTACATAAATTATAGAATGCTCTCCGTCTTCACTCTCAGCCTCAACTCTCTACCTTCCCAATCAACATAGTTCACCTGAACTTGGCTCTTCCCTTAAAGCAAAGCTCTTCTTTCAAGGAGCAAAGAGCAAGATGGCGCAGTCAACAAATCAACTTAGCAGTAAAGCAAAATAGTATTTACCTGCTGAGATAAACAGAAAATTGGTGTTTCTCAAGCAAGCCTTCCTTCATCAGGCTATCAAAGAACGGAGTTGCTTTTTCTTCAGAAAGGGAGGGGTAGGCTAAGCCCAGGATCCCATCAAATGGCGTGTTGACAAAGGCTTTACCTGGCTCAGTGGTACTCAAGCCAAATCCCTGATGAGAAATGGAAAGACTGGATACCTAGGAGAGAAGCAAAGTATCTCCTTACTTTTATATCAAGCTGTGAAGTACAGAGCAGGGTTCTACTAGTGATGTTCATCTGCTTATTGACACACACACACACACACACACACACACACGATGTATTGAAGGTGCAGCCCTGTGCATGTTAACAAAAAGGAAACCTCATCAAGCAGTGTTCTGTCTTGCTTTTCTTTTTAAACATGTATGGAATTTGGCTTTCCAGAGAATAATATTCAAATGTGGATAGCGGGTAAGAGTGACTTACATCCCAGTTTTAAACGTCTTTATTCAGAAGTAAATCTCAACAATTTCATTGACATTTACTTCAGGATCCCATGATTTTGTACTGCTTCAATTTTGTATTACTTTGATGCTAACAATGGCAATTAAAAATCAAGAAATCAATGGACTATGCTGCTATGTGGGGAATGCTTTGATGTATATTAAAAATCAAACTCAGGGTTGGCATGTTCCCACCATTTTTTATTTTATTTGGCAGTAGCCCTTTCTGCTTCCCCCCAATAATAATAATAATTCTCATTTTCTTGATTGATATTGGATTGAACCTTTCTATGATATGAAGTGATATCTAAGTATGTGTCACAGAACTATCATAGTAAGTCACCAGTTGGTTCTTTTTTGTTGTATTGTATAATGTTTCGATTACTCAGTAAAGTCTTTTTAAACAAAAAATAAAACAAAGCTATTAAGTTAAAATATATTTTGTTTTGAGTTCCTTTATATGCATCCATCTGCAGCATATAATCTACATATGTAGATCTACATATGTATTTATGTATATATGTATATGTGTGTGTGTGTGTGTCCAGAGAAAATAATGGGCTGTTTTGTTTTTCCTGCATTAAAGTTTGAGTTCCAGCATTCAAACAGGCTGAGATTCACTGGCCTTGGAAACGCACAGAACCAATAGCTGAGTATAACATTGTACTGTACCTGTATAATACTATTAGTTTACCTTAACTGTATCAAATACCAAGATTCCTTTCATGCTTCCGGTCCCATACTCAATGTGGAAGTGTTTTCCTGTTCTGCGGAAGGTAGAAGACTTAGATGAGTCAAACCTCCGATGTTTTACTAAAAGTAAAAAAGAAAGAAAGCATTAAATAGATATAAAAATAGTGTTTAATTAATCATAGATATCAGGCAGAAATCACAGTATAAAATAAAACTATTGTAAAATTTTAAAGTAAAGGGTGTTTAGAAAATACTAGCAATCTTGTTAGTCTACCTGCAGGAAATATTTAGATAAAATTGGGAGCTATTATTATTTAACTGAATAAATTTTACCCAATACAAAATGATTCCCTGATACTGAAACTTGAATCTTTCTTTCCCTCCCCCCCCTCTCTCTCTCTCTCTCTCTCCCCACACACATGCATATATTCATTCTAACATTTTCGTACCATTAACTAAAAATGTCTGTGTTCGATGATGGGAATTGAGTTTCACACAACCAAGTCCACTTGATATTCTTGTATACTCTTATGTGTGTTTACTCAGAAGTAATGCCTCTAATGGACTTTGATGGCACTTCCTTCCAGGAAAGTGGGTATATAGGATTGGAGGCTCACTCGTCAATCCAATGCATATTTATTCAGAAGCAAGTCCCTGTGCATTCAGTGAGTCCTAGGTAACTGGAATTATAGCCTCAACCAGACTCCGGATTTCTGGTTGTGAAATAATGAGCCCATTCCTTATAGCTCCCCACCACCACTTTTACATCTGACTAACATGTTTGACTACATTGAGGTACTCAGTTACTTACGGCATGCCTCACTACTGCACTTGACAGATGGTACCCAGAGATCGGATGACCCAGTGTCAAAAACAACAGAGAACTTCTGTGGCGGGGTTCCAATGTAGATTGTTCCATAATATTCGAGCTGTTGATTTATAAAACAAATACACTTTGTAACACTTATTTTGGTTACTTCTCTCTTTTTTTAGACTTTTGAAAATTTTAGTTCCTCACAGATATGCAAGCTAATCACTGTAAATTTGAGTGCCACATAACTAACTGAAGGGTGGAAGCAGGAAATAGATTCTTGGCAAAAATTGGTTCATCCAGAAAGGGTTGTTTTTTTCAAATAAATGAAGAATAAACATCAAAATGTTCAAGCTGGATGCACAGAAACGTAACCTACAATCAGCAAAGATACAACAGTAGGGCTACCAATTTTCCCCGGTGTCCTTCTGTGCATAGTCAGTAAGGTAAAATAATATTTTTCTGGCTCACATCACCCCAACTTGCCCTACATGTGGTTCAGTAGGGTGGCCAGATGCAAAGGAAGTCAGGACTCACAGACCTTTAATGGATGTGTAGAATTAGGGTTGTTATTTAGCAAAGGGGATTTCAGCAGGTGTTAAGTATGTATGATGAGAAATCACTCCTGTTGGAAACATCAAAGGTGCAAGAGCTCTGTTCTCTTTTGCATCTAGCTCCCCCTAGGTGTCAATGGGATTTCAAAGTGCTTAACTATGGGTGGATAATGGGTACAATCCATCCAAAGTTAGTTTCAACATGTCCCATAGAAATCAACAAGGCTTTAAGCTAGCCATGACTAAATCGTATTCTGTTGCTTTTAGTGGGAATGACTATGTCTTGCTTAATTGTGCCTATTATGTTCTTAAGCCTGCATGCCGAGATAAATATTAAAAGGGTCTCAACTGAGCCTCATGAATATATTTGGGAATGTTGTTCTGCAGCACAGCAAATTGATAATAGAAAAACATGAACTCACATCCAAGAAATCCAGAAGCGGTTCCTTAGACACCTGGCCATTTTTTGTAAAAGGGAGGTATTGACAATAGAAGCCATAACGGTTTTTCAAAAGAAAATCTTCCAGCAAGTTTTCCTCCCTAAGAATCTTTCTTAGACTCTTCCTCCTCTCCAAAGAAATCCTGGTACAAAAGAAACAAACAAACAACAACAACAACAACAACATATTTATATGCCACCCGTCTGACTGTGTTACCCCAGCCACTCTGAGTGGCTTACAACAGATTAAAACACAGTAAGATATCAAACATTTCAAACTTCCACATACAGGGCTCCCTTTAGATGCCCTCTAAAAGTCAGGTAGTTGTTTATTTCCTTGACATCTGATGGGAGGGCATTCCACAGGGCGGGCACCACTACCGAGAAGGCCCTCTGCCTCGTTCCTTCAAGGAGGGTGCAACTACTGAAAAGGCCCTCTATCTGGTTCCCCATAACCTCACTTCTTGCAAAGAGGGAACTGCCAGAAGGATCTCAGTGTCCGGGCAAAATGATGGGGGTAGAGACACTCCTTCAGGTATGCAGGGCCAAAGCCATTTAGGGCTTTAAAGGTCTGAATGACTATGCTTGTATTTTTTCTCTCCTGGAAATGTGCTTATTTTGCAATTAGTCTTTCCACTCTATAGCCCAAAACTTAAGAATAGGTTTGATGCAGTGTGTATCTATGTATACACACAAATATAAGTGTGTGTGTGTGTGTGTGTGTATATATATATATATACACACACACACACACACACACACACACACACACACACACACACACACACACATTCTCTCTCTCTCTCTCTATATATATTCTTAGATTTGTAGATACAATTCACACTTCCTTTTCTCTCTTGCTTGATTAGTTAATCAGAAAGCACATATGTCTGTGAAGTAAATATCAGCAATATAACGAAAACTTACTTAAAGAGACATTCGGAGAGAGTAATAATGGTGAAGAGAACTGTAAGGCACTTCATCCTGCTTGTTCAGCAGAGGCTGCTCCAGTTTCTCTAGTGTTTGTTGCAGAAATGCTCTTCTTTTATAGCTCCTTGTGAAGTATTCAATGTTATTGAAAGGGTGAATTATGATATTTCATCACAGAAAGCCCCTCCCATTCCAGGAAACCAAAACTGACCAGTCATATTTCTTTGTAAAAACGCTGAAATTCTCCCTAAGGTGTGTCTTCATCATAAAACATTTTCAGTTATAAATAAATCCAGTGAATAAATTGCCACGCATTATATTTTCATATCTTATTTGAAACCACGAAGATGTGCTGATGGTCAAAGCAGGCCAATAGTCTTCAACCAGTCCAGACTCAAGACTAGAGATAGTGGAGAAATTCATCCAGGCAAACTGAACAGGCCCATGGTTTGCATGTTCATTGTCTTTGTGGTCTTGCTTACAGAGAAATATGGTGGCTTTCCAATACTGGGGCTGAGCTTGCTTGCTTGTTTGTCTTTGAGAATTTTGCCAGTATGGCAACATTGCTTTCTATACAATTCAATCTTCTGCCAGCTTCTGCCAGACTTGGCATCTGAACTGAAGTGCCTACTACTGCTGAAATCTGTATTTGCTTTAACTTCAGTCTCTTTGATTGATTGTGGGGGCAATGATGTTAGCCATTAACTAATAACATTCACCGTCTTATTCTTGTCTCTCCCACCCCTGCCCCCTGTGACTATAGCCTCCTTCCTGGGCTTTCTTAGTCCTTTCTCTGTTGCCACTTACAGGTCTTCCTTCCTTTCACAATTCTTCCCTTTGTCAGCTCTCTGCCTGTCCCCTTTCCCTCTCTGTTGACACCTTTGTCTACCTTCTTTTTACCTAATCACACAGTGGAGTCCTCTCTTTCTCTCACCTTATTCTACTTTCTTTCACCAGCTTTTATTACTTTTCTTATAGGCATTCAAAGCCATTCCATCATGCTCCTATGACCCAATAAGAACTAGCTAAAATCATCTCTCCACCCCTTCTTCACACACGTAAATCTACTTCTGATGCACATGGAAAGTTTAGCACATCTTTCTTCATGTGTAGCTCACCAGAACATTAAAAAAATAAAAGTGCTGGTGTGAGGCTGGGTGAAATGGGCATATGACCTGACCAGATACCCTGAGAAGGGAGAAGGGTACATATGAAGGGTACATATGAAGGTGAATGGCAACAGGGCCACTTGAGGCATTAGGAACTTGACAACTGAACAGAGAGACCTCTAAATAGATCCCTTCTCTCTGCCCAGCAAGGAACTTTTCCCTTCACCCAGCAGGTTGCTGGGAGTATTGTTGGCATAAACATGTGTTCCGGCTCCCTCCAATTCTTACCACCTTCAACCACCAGATTCCTGCCACCCATCACTGGTAGGGTCCAGAGGATGCCATCATGGCAGCAAATGGGCAACCAAGCTCTCCCACTGACACTTCTGCATTCCAGCATCCTTCCATTCCTGGAGGAGTCCAGAAGGCCACAGAAACAGGCTAGAAAGTGAACCAAGAACCTCTGCTCCATACAGAGGTAGAGCCAGGGCCAGCCCATCCACGAGACAAGGTGGGATGACCACCTTAGGCAGCAAGATCCACAGGGGCAGCAGATCCCGCCTCCAAGGAATTCATCGCCTGCTGTTGCTGCCATTGCCATGTGCTCCTTGCATACCAGATCTGCTGCCTCCTCAGCAGCCCCCTTCCATGCCACCTCTACAGCGACTTGGAGGAGCTACTAGTCTCCTCTTAGGTTCTTCATTCACCCAACATGATTCAGACCTAACATGGGACTGAACTTTCAACTTAATGTGTTTTAAGAATTGGGTAGCAAGAAAAACAAGGAAACTTGGACCTAATCTAAATTCCACCAAAACAGATGAATCACTTTTATTTGGGTGTGATCATTAATGGTGCAACATCAGGAAGGTGATATAGTTTTCACAATCACTCGTTTCTTCAGAAGAAGTTTTGCAAAAGCAACAGCTGTGAGGATGAAGATAGCAAATAGGTGCAATTTCCTTTATGCTGGAGAAATTTGTAAGTGCCAACTCAAAGCTCAGAGCTGCAGTTCAACTGCCCCAGAAAGAAGGAAAGGCAGGTTGGCTCTTCAATAAGCTTGGTTATTTTATCCTTAACAGTTATTTTTATCCTCCAGTCTTCCTTGGAGAATTGTTAAGGTAAGCAGTCTGTTTTTTCCAGGAGCCCCCCGGATCCCTTCTTAAAAATTGGTGATACATTGGCTACTTTCCAGGTTTGTTTCCATTCTATTCTCCATTTGGACAAGACTTATTTCTTTTAAAGAAGCCTTTTTGTCTATACTAGCTTCTTCGACATTGCTCATTAACTATGCTGGTATCCTTTGGGCTTTCATGGTATCTTTCCTGATCTGTACTATACAGTCAGTGGGTGGTGAAGCAACCTAAAAACTGCTTGATCAAGAAACTCCCCAAGGTCCAAGCAAGTTGAAAAGGCTGCCAAGTTTGGCCCTTGAATCAGATGTCTCATCTGGTCAGAATGTGAAATTGTGAAAGGAGGCAGTGAAAACAGATGTTGCTCCAAAGAAACCACTAGATGGTGAGGGGGCACAGTCCTTTCACTGCCACCCAGTTTAGGACAATATGTGATTATCAATAAGGGCAGGCATGGCGAACTTTTGACCCTACAGTTTCCATCATTCCTGAACTCTGGCCATGCAGGTTGGGGCTGGACTGCAGCTCAACAACATATGGCGGCCCACAGGTTCCCTGTCCCTGCAGGATGAGTGCTTGTATCTGTGACAACTCTCCAGTTCTGTGCGTGGTATTAGTGTACAGTACTTGCTGTGTATTATTTATAGGGCATAAAAAAGAAATAAATGAGTAAAAATACTGTTAATGTACATTGGTGGCTTTTTACTCTCTCTTTCTCTCCATAACTTAAACTTGACTATCCTGAGACGGGGCCCTTTTCCTTTGCCTTTTCCCTCCTCATTGACCTCAGAAATGGCACCTCAGCTTCACTCACATTAGCTACAGGGTATTGTACACAAATCACATCCAAAAGCTTAGCCATGGAACAGTTTATTAATTTGAAATACATAATTTTCAGATCATATATGCCACAACAACGCTACCACCTGCATCTTCTTTAAAGACATCTGACAAATAAAATTTTTATTAGGACACCGAATGATAGTATTTGTTCAAATACATTGCTATGAAGTTAGGATGACGTTGGCATTAGTTGATTAAATGAGAAACTACAGCACTTGCATAGTTTAAATGCAGAATTTTTTTTACACTGCCTTTGCCAGTCCAACTTGGTTGTTCCCCCTGTCAAATATACTGTAGTATTCTCTGAGGAACATATCTCCTAGTATCAAGTGATCATAATCTTTGCTGCCAGAGCTAAAGCCACTCTTGCAATGGTCGTCATCCTAGAAGGTAAGGAAAGGAAAGGATATCCTTAAGATGTGGGTGATTCGACATCCATACCAACCAAGAAATTATTCTAGGTAAAAATGCACAAGGAAGGGTTGCCATATTTTAAACCCTAGCATAAGGTAACATTCCAACATAAAGAAGGACAAGGAAGGATTTTTCCTGGAAGAAAAATCTCAAAAGGAGATAAATGTTGTAGATGTAACACTAGGACAATAGTAATAGTGCACAATATTGTAAATTGTGTATTCAGTCTATAATAATTAGCATAATACCTTAATAATGAACAACCAAATTGTACAAGTCAGCAAACTATTTTAAAATTATAGGCAGTCTCCACAATTCAAAATGTTTTTTGCTCTCCTCTGTTGGAAGAAATAATTGCATGCAAATGCCATCTTATCCCTGGAATTATGCCAGCTTAAAGATGATAGAATCAGTTCCACACAAGGAATCTTTGCCAAGCCCACTTGGAAATGTTGGAGGTTTAAACTGTGAACTTCTATTGATAAAGCAAATCCTCTACTACTGAGCTATGGCCCCTCCCTATGGAGTCAATGGAGATCACAAGAGACTTATTTCCCATCTCCTCCTCGCTCCACCTCTCCTGCTAGCTATAAAGGATAGGATCACTGTGTCCCTCTGCCAATAGAAGCCCTTCTTCAGGGCTACATGTGGAGCATTAGGATGCTGCTGAGAGTGAGATTTAGAAACTCTCTAGATTGTGTTGTCACTACAAAGAGGAAACGAGGGGAGAAAGAACATTATTTGCTTCAAAATTGTTCCATATCTGCAACTGTCAAACAAACACATCTGCATACAGTATATATGTTGCTCTATGTGATGGAAGGTTTAAGTCCTTCTCGGGGTCATCAAGCACCCATGTTATACAACATGTCAGAGGCAACCTTCCTGGGATGGGAATCATCTGCAGTCAGAGATACGATACTAAACTGTCATGAAACTATGTTGGTGGGAATTTGCATTGGCCTTTTTTCTATAGGACATGCAAGTTTGGGTCCAGCTCTTCTGACCGTCTCAGGATATCTAATAGGCTTTCTGCCCCCAAACGTATTCCATTTCCCCCTGTCTTTAGCCCATGTGTTCATAAATATTTTGCACTTCTAATCTGCCCTAAACTGTTTGAACCTGCATTATTATGGCAAGTAGATAATATTCCAGTTCTATCATATACCTTATGAGTATAGGCATGTGGAGTCAAAGGATATTGAATTCCATTGATTACAAAAACAACATCTGGCATGTTGTGGAGGTTTCTGCAGTTGAAGGAATGCTGAAAGAGATAAGGAAGAGTTGAGTTTGGGCATTATCCTGATCATGAAGGAATTGAACCAGCAAACCTCAAGTTTGCTCGAGAAATGTCATGGATTTGTCCCTGAGCCAATCTCGGGAAAGCAAGCATACCGCTTTAAGTGAGAACTTAATAACCATCTAGTGTAACTCACAGGTTTGAACAGCACACTGTAGAACACTGTAGCACAGAAGCACGCCATCTAGCTGAATATTACAAATAAATCACCTCAACACTTCACATCTAAACCTCACAGTCTAAACCAGTGGAGATGATCCAATCCATTTTTAAAGTCCAGTATGAGACCAAATCCCCATTCTAAAATGGCTGCTGATGGCAGGCTGATGTACTGAATCTGTTTTGAGAGATGTTGTCTGGAGGAAACAAAGCCAATGTATTTTGGAGACAGACTACAGTACGAAATAACAGCAGTGCTCTCTCTCTCCCACTTCCTTTACTGGATGTCACAGCTTATTTTCTTTTTCTGCCATTTCCATTGTTGTAGCTTGGATGCTCATGCACATTTGCATGCATGTGCAGTAGGTATCATGAAGAACCATGAAGGCTAACACTGAGGTGCCAGCAGCTGTAGTCCAGGAGGCAGGGCGGGGCACCGACTTGGGCCCCAGATTATGGGTGCCCAATGGCATCCGTGATGTAACGTGATGTTTTGACATTTTGATGTCACGTTACATTGCACACGCTGCAGCAGTTCCTGGTAGGCCTCCAATGTGACCTCCGGGGTCATGACTGAGGTCTCTCAAAGCCTCCAACATGACTTCTGGTTTCTCCTGAATGTCGCTTCGGGAGGCCCCGCAAGGCCTTGGATGTGACTTCAGGAGCCTTGCGAAGCACCCAAAATCACAACGGAGGCTCCGCAGTGTCGGTGCCAAACACCCACAATTTTTTGTGTGGTGCCTGGGCCCCCAATGGGCCCCATGGAGTTGGTACCAGTGCCAGGAGGTATCGAAAGTCAAGTCTAATCCTCACCACCTTTGGTTGTGTGCCTCTGAAACCTGAGCTCCGGCTAACAATTAGAGTATGGAGTGTGGACACTAGAGTGATAAGGATGAAATGCACCCTCTATCTGTATGGGACTTGGATGTAGAAGAAGGGTTTTCAGCAGAACTAATACCTGCTGAAAGTTCCTCCTCTGTACAACTATTAAAGGTGCAAGTGTTTTGTTGCGTTTTGCATGTGGCCACCTTTCCTGTACTGTATAGTGGACTCTTTTCAGAACCCTGCATATAGGAAAGGATAGCCCAAAGCACATGCAACAGTGCAATAAACCCATGGGAGATTCTCAGGTTATATCATATGAAAATGGCAAGGTCACACATGAAATCACCATCAGTCAAAGAGAAGCTTCCATGGATCATACTCTCATTGCATCGGGATCTAGCAATGGGGAACAATCTTCCAAAAGCCAATAAGCCCATTGAAAAAAGGCCATCACTTCATTTAACTGTGTGGATTTAGTATCAGGCTCACTGGCAGTGCTTATTTCATGGGATGTCACCCTCCCAGATTGCTATCTTTCCCTGCCATTTCCATGGGCGTAGTTTGTAAGCTCATGAACATTTGCATGCATCTGCAGTATCATGAAGAACTATGAAGCGTGGCACTGAGGTTTCAGTAGTTGCAGTCCAGGCCATATCCTAGGTCAAGCCTAATCCTCACCACCTTTGGTTGTGTGCCTCTGAAACTTGAGCTCTAGCTAACAATTAGAGTATGGAGTATGGACGCTGGAGTGAAGAGAATGGTACTGGGCCTCTTTCAGCTACAGTATGAAGACAACCAGCAAAAGTCAATCTTACTTTTGTAACTCCAATGGCTTGTTGGATTTGGCTAATTTCAGGTGCTGGGCCGAGCAAGAAGGACGTCCCTGTGTCAAGAAGTGCTTCACAGCCATCTCTGCAGGCAATTGCCTGACCATACACTAGAATGCTGAGAAATAGGACATCATTAGATTCTTTAGATTCTGACATGAAACATAAAAACCCACACTGTATGGAGCAGCTCTCCAGGATTTCAGACAGGGAGTTCTCATAGCACTGCCTGGAAATATCAGCTATGCGACCTAGGTGAAATTTAAAAACCGTTCTGAAAATGCTATTTTTAAAAAAAGTTTTTAAAAATACAATGAATTTTCTGTAAGGCTCACCATCAACATCTAGCGTCATATTGTATACCGTATTTCACTTAAAACACACTTAAAACGTTTTCTTTGCAGCTGTATAGCTGTGTCCATGGAGGCTTCTCCTTGCAAAGCAAATGATTCTCAGCTGAGGTAGGGCCCTTCCCCAAACATGGGTTGGCTTTTTTAAATGGAGAGTGGGATGTGATAAGTACTTTCAGGTAGCTGCATTGGAAATAGTACAAGGGATAAAACAAAACTCATGAACTACAGATTGTAAAGTACTCAGAGCAAGGGCCTGCCCTCATATGCTCTGTAAATGCCATTTACAAGAACGGTTCTGTATAAGTCATCCTAACAACGGACAACTAGAAAACACAAAGTAAGTTGCACATTCGTATTTGCATTTTATTGCCCTCCATCTCTTCCTGTTTAGCTAACTAGTAGCCATTAAAATTATTCAGAAAAACGTTTCAGTTTTATTGTACCCAGTCAATATGTTAAAATTAACAATAATGTTGCTAATACTACTAATAAGAATAATTTCTGCTTACCTGTCCACTTCAATCTTAAATTTCCTATATGCGGCAGGAATCCAGTTAATAGGACCAGTGAAATAAGATTGATCAATTCCACCAAAAATGATCATGCTCCCATCTGTTTTTCTGAAACATAGATAAATATATGATGTTGTGAAGTCATTCATTCAGAATAAGCTGGGCTGCATATTTAAAAAGTGTATGTATCATGTTCTTGTACCTCTGTCCAAATTAGACAAAAAGAGAGAGAGAAAGGAACTTTTGCAGTGCACCAGTATCTACTGGTGAACACTGGACAATGAAGGCTCTAAGATTTTGAAAGGTGAATGCTGTTAATGTTCTATATATCACCATGCTTCCTATTCAGCTCTGTATATCACACACTGACTTCCCTCTTCATAATCTTCATTAGTTTTGTTCTTCTAATTGGTTTTCATTGTGATTTTAAGCAAGCCAGTTTGGGGCAGTGGAGGCCATTCTGCGGAAATGGCTTCTACTCCACCAGCCTCAATCTACTACTAGCCAGCCTCACCTGCCTGCCTGCCTGCACCCAGTCTAGGGAGTGTCACTGTCTGTCAGATTCCTCCTCCTTAGTCAGTCTAATTGCTACCTTTATATCCTCAGCTGGGTGGAGAATGCGGACAAAATCAGCTGGCTTCACTTGTGTCTGGCTCTGCTTCCACCTACTGCTTCCCTTCCTGCCTTCTGCCCTACAAAGGCTTGCTACCTCCCTTTCAAAAAACCATTAAGGTTGCAGTGCCAGGCACTGTAGCACTGACTTCTGAGCTGACATGTACAGGATGGGTTGCATATTAGCCACCTGATGGGAGGGAGCAATTTATACCCTTCAGTTCTTGATCTACCCCCAAAATAGTCAGGTGAAATGGTCTTTGTGATACTATCCTCCAGTTATTCTGCATGGGGTAGGATTGTGATTTGGAGCAAAAACTCCAAATCTCTAAAGTGTTTTTGGGGGCAGATTTCAAGTTGGTACAGTACTAAATTAAAATGAAAAGGGAATGTAGCTACATGGATGAACTACAACATTTTTAAAATTCCGTATTTCCATGCATTAAATAATAGTAAAAGAAGCAGGGGGGTTGACCTCTTCACTCTCTGCCTCAAGTCTGTCCACCTCCCTCTCTTCCCACATTAACACTTAGCTCACCTGAGCTTGGCCCCTGCTCTCAAGGCACAACAAGCAAGATGGTGCAGTCGACTGCTGGGTACTAGAAAACTGGAGGAACCTTTTCTTCAACAGCATCAAGTAGCCTTGACTACAATAGCTTATTCATCCCTGGAGGGGCTCAGCATTCTGACCAATTTGGGGATGGAGGTTCCAGTCCTCTCTACCCACCAACCGCTGTGCAAACAAAGCACAGTGGTAGACAGCCTGTTCTACAAGATTCAGCAGGCAAAGCATTAGCCAACCTGTAAACTAATCTCATGCGCAGTTTCCTTCCATGAGTCCTCCATCAACATGCAACAAATCTTCTTAGCAGTAAAGCAAAATAGTGTTTACCCGCTGAGATAAACAGAAAATTCGTCTTTCTCAAGCAAGCCTTTCTTCATCAGGTTATCAAAGAATGAACTTTTTTTCCAAGGGTTTAAGCCAAGGATCCCATCATATTTAGTTCTGGAAAAGGGGTCTTCTGACTCACTGGTACTCAAGCCGAATTCCATATCGGAAATGGTAAGATCAGATATCTAGGAGAAAAACAAAGTCTTCCCTTACTTCTTTATCAAGTTGTAAAGTACAGAGCAGGCTTTTATGAGCATTGCATTGAGGCTACAATCCTGTGCATGTTAACATGAAAGGAAACCTCATTTGACCTTTCAGACAATAATATTCAAACATGGATAGTGGCAGGTAACAAAATATTGGGGGCGGGAGGTAAGTCCCATCCTGCATAATTGATCACAAGACACAGTCAATGCACACCACTTGAATGGCAAAGCCCATTAACTTTGGGCGGCGGCCCTCATCAGATAATATTTGGGGGATGAAGGGACCATGGCCCATAAGAATTGGCTCCTATGGATAGTGGGCAAGAGCAAATTGGGTCCTAGTTTTATGCCTCTTTATTCAGAGGTAGGTCTCATCAATTTCATTGATATTTACTTCAGGATTGCATAACCTTAGTACTGCAGCTTTAATTTGTACTACTTTGATTGTAACAACGACAATTAAAAATAAACTTATTTGTTACCACATATTGTGTTCTGAATTCCTTGAGGAGCAGCCATCAATGTATATATACTGTGCATAAATATCTCCACAGAATATAAAGGGCTGATGCAGTTTTTACTGCTTTAAATTTTCCAGGATTCAAAAACACTGAGAAGTATAGTCCTTGGAAATGCACAGAAGAGTCAATATTTTTATAAGCTTGTATTCTCAACTTGTCCTGTATCTATAAAATACTATTAGTTTACCTTGACTGTATCAAGTCCAAAGATCCCTTCCATGCTTCCTTTCCCATACTTAATGGAGAATGGCTGTCCTGTTCCTTGGAAGGTAGAAGACGTACGTGGGTCAAATCTATGGTGTGTTTCTAAAGGTAAAAAGGAAACAGAAATTAATTAATACAAAAACAACTTTTAATTAGTGATCAATAGCAGAAACAAACTGAAGGTATAAATTTTCTGAAGAGAATAATTGTAATAAAAGGACATTGGAAAACACTAGGGAAACATTTAGATAACCGGAGCTGGGATATATTACTTTTTTTACTAATCTCACCAAACACAATTTTTTTACTAATCTCGCCGAATAATTGATGCTTTTGAATTATGGTGCTGGAGGAGACTCTTGAGAGTCCCATGGGCTGCAAGAAGATCAAACGCATCCATTCTTAAGGAAATCAGCCCTGAGTGCTCACTGGAAGGACAGATCCTGAAGCTGAGGCTCCAGTACTTTGGCCACCTCATGAGAAGAGAAGACTCCCTGGAAAATATCCTGATACTGGGAAAGATGGAGAAGGGGACGACAGAGGACCAGATGGTTGGACAGTGTTCTTAAAGCTACCAGCATGAGTTTGACCAAACTGCGGGAGGCAGTGGAAGACAGGAGTGCCTGGTGTGCTCTGGTCCATGGGGTCACAAAGAGTCGGACACGACTAAATGACTAAACAACAAAAGACTGTCCCCGGGACAGGTGAGGCTGCTGATCCCTTATTTTCAAATCTGAAAGTTTACAGCTATGTACAAGGTGGGGACTCAGATTGAGCACCTTGTAGCTGAGAATGGCAGGCTCATGCTGCTCTCTCTGTATTAATTGTAAACTACTGTAAATCTTCCAAGAAACTCATTACTTCTTTCCGGAGCTTGTTTGCCTGCCTGAGATCATTACACCTGATCACTGAAAACTAAGATCTCTCTCTCCAGCAGTGGAGTGCCCTGTTTTGCCACTTGAAGCATAATGGGATGTGCCCCCACTCTACTACCCTGCCCCCCTCCACTGCCCCCCTTACTTGGGCTGTGTGGGGATACTGATGACACATCAGGTAAATGGGTATAGGATTGCAAGCCCACATCAGGTAAATGGGTATAGGATTGCAAATTCCACACATTTATTTAGACGTTGGCATCACTGAGTTCAATCAACCCTACTCATATGTAAATAGAATTATGACCTGAGTCTGCAATGCTGGATTGTGAACTAATGAATCCATTCCTTTACACAACTTCATAGGCCCTCCCAGGTCATTTTTAATAACAGACTGACATGCTTGAAGACTTTTTTATAGCCAGTTACTTACGGCATGCTGGACTACTGCAATAGACAGAGGGTACCCAGAGAGTGGATGATCCAGTATCAAACACAACAGTGAACTTCTGTGGTGGAGTTCCAATGTAGATTGTTCCATAGTATTCAGTCTGTTAATTCATAAAATAAACACAATTTGCAAAACTTTCCTTCTTTTTAGGCTTTTGAACATTTTACTTCCTCGCAGATATGCAAGGTAATCACTGTAAATCTAAGTGCTACATTTAAAAAAATAATAGTTAGAAAGGAGAAATTTATTTCCTGTCAAAAGTGGGATAATGTGAAAAGGGAATTGTTCAAATAAACAAATAATAAACGACATAATGTAAAAGCAGTATGTGCTTTAACATAACTCACAAACAGGAGAAATACAGCAGAACTGACATTTCCCCCACTTCAAATAACTTCTGTGCATAAGAAATAAGTGCCATTGTAAAAACCTGCAGTTTCTAAAAATATATATAATAGATTTTTTAAAAAGAATAGATTGAGACAATCTGGGATATGCAGGGAAAGATGAAAACAATTTTAAGGAACTACAGAAAAAGGGGGAGGGAAGTCAAGATTCAAAGTGTAAGAATTACTGTTGATTGATTTGTGAAATGTTTTCCTTTTTGTTATAATTGAAAATTATAAATATTTTTTTAAAAAACAAGTAAGTACCATTTATTGCCATAGAAGAGCTGTCACAATGTTCATCACAAAAAGCAAGCTAAAGTACTATTTTTCTGGCCTACACAACACCCTGGCTTCATCATTTTCCTGCTCTGCCCTTTAATAAGATGGCTAGATGCAAAAAAGAACACGGTTCTCACACCTTGAATAGTTGTAATAAAGGGGCACTCAGCATCTGTGAACTTGAATGAAGGGTCACGAAGAGTCGGACACGACTAAACGACTAAACAACAACAACAACCTGCTGAAATTCCCTCTTCTACACAACTATTAAAGGTGCAAGAACCCTGTTCTCTACTGTATCTGGCTACCCTAGGTGTCAATGGGATTTCAATGTAATTAACTTTGGCTGGCTCATAACTCCTCTATGGGTCACAATCCAGCAAAAGTTAGTTGCAACTTCTTATGTTGAAAACGATCACTGCAGATGTTGACAGCAGTCACGAAATTAAAAGACGCCTGCTCCTTGGGAGAAAGGCGATGGCAAACCTAGACAGCATCTTAAAAAGCAGAGACATCACCTTGCCAACAAAGGTCCGTATAGTTAAAGCTATGGTTTCCCCAGTAGTGATGTATGGAAGTGAGAGCTGGACCATCAAGAAGGCTGATCGCCGAAGAATTGATGCTTTTGAATTATGGTGCTGGAGGAGACTCTTGAGAGTCCCATGGACTGCAAGAAGATCAAACGCATCCATTCTTAAGGAAATCAGCCCTGAGTGCTCACTGGAAGGACAGATCGTGAAGTTGAGGCTCCAATACTTTGGCCACCTCATGAGAAGAGAAGACTCCCTGGAAAAGACCCTGATGTTGGGAAAGATGGAGGGCACAGGGAGAGGGGGACGACAGAGGACAAGATGGTTGGACAGTGTTCTCGAAGCTACAAACATGAGCCTGACCAAACTGCGGGAGGCGGTGGAAGACAGGAGTGCCTGGCGTGCTCTGGTCCATGGGGTCACGAAGAGTCGGACACGACTAAACGACTAAACAACAACAACAACAATGTTGAAAACAAGAGGGCTTTGTGATAGTCATGACTAAGTCCCATTGTGTGATTGAGTTGTGGCTGTGTTTTGCTGAATTGCATCTAACATATTATATTGATAACCTCTGGGTGTCAGGAGAAATATGAAGAAGTATCTCAACTGAGCATCATGAAAACTTTGGGGAAATATTGTTCAGCAGCATAGAAAATTGATAAGAGAAAAGCATTACCTCACCTCAAAAGAGTTCAGAAGTGGTTCTTCAGCCACCTGGGCAGCATTAGAAATATCTGAGTTGTATTTTGTACCAATGTCATAACGGTATTTCTGAAGAAGATTTTCTAGCAGATTTTTCTCTTTGAGAGTGTCTTCTACTTTTATCCCTCTCTGCAAGGGAATCCTGGAACATAAGAAACAAAATACTAGGTTTGGATTTTCTGTCTTTGTAAAATTTGCCTATTTTGCAACCTGTCTTTCCATTCCATAACTCCAAACATAATAATAGGTTTAATATCACCACCCCATCATAGCCATAGCTAGGTAATCTTGCGCTCCTGGCAGAACTGTCCAGATTGTGGCCCTTAGCCATTGACAAATTAGCTCTTCTTTCCGCCTCTCCTCTATTCCCCCTTCAATTCACCCTCTATTTAAAACCTTTTCTTAGGAGGCAATAATCAATATTTTTATAGACATATTTATGGAAATATTTTAGCCAATTTTGTGCCCCCCATTGCCTGCGCCCCTGGTGGGGGCCCACCTCACCACCCCCTAGTTACAGCCCTGCACACCTTCCAAACTCTCTTAACTACTAGATCTAAGCTATTACAAAAATTTGGGTACTCAGGAAATTGAACTGGAAGTTCGCACCCACTCAATGCAATCAAAGTCTTTTTTTAGCATCAAGAAATCGTACCATAGCCTATAATCTTGCACACATTCATTCATGCATCTTTTCTATAGACGTGGATGGGATCTGAACAGCTTTAATGCAGGGGAAAGAAGCCAGTGGGGATTTCCAGACATTGTTGAGCTCCATGTCCCATCAGCCCCAACCAGCAAGGCAAATAGGGATGGTGGGGGTTCAAGTTCAGCAACATATGGAGTGTTAGGATCCTAGTCCCTGCTGTAATGCATGACAGGGATATTAATCTGCTTCATCTCTCAATTAATTTAAGGAAGATAGCTGAAAAAAACAACAACTGTAGGTGTGTAGGGTGTTTAATATTTGCTGACATGAAATTAATTCTTTGCAGCCCATTTTTTAGACTCCTTTTGTTTCAATTAGTGTCAGCAGCAGTTCAAAGTGTGCTATTGGGCCCTCAATTGCTTATTACAAAGAACAGTTTGACAATTCCACTTTCTCTTGTCACTTCGGACATGCTGTGATGAGCTTCAGGTGCTGAGCATCATCCTGTTACTGTGTTACTGAAGGCAAGGAGACCTGTTGGGCTAAAAAAAGCACACACACAAATGCCCCAAAATATTGTTCCATCTCAAATTAGATGTTAGTGATGCTTTCTTCAGTGAGTCTATGTGTTTCTACCCTTGTAATTGCTACCAGATGACCATTTTGCATTTACTAATCTCCTCTCAGCTGTGTGTATCTGTTTATATATATGTATATATCTGAAAAATTCTTTAAGATTTGAAGTTATAATTCACATTCTCTCTCCTCTTCATTAGTTAATCAGAAAGTATAGCTGTCAGATGAGTAAATATCAGCAACGAAACAATAACTTACTTAACAAGACATTCGGAGAGAGCAACAATGGTGAAGAGAACTGCAAGGTACTTCATCCTGCTTGTCCAGTGGGGGCTGCTCTAGTTTTTCTGGTGCTTGTTGGGGGAAACTCTGTTATTTTATAGCTGCTTGAGAAGTGCCCACCATCATCTAAAGATCATATTTCATCACAGAAAGTCCAGCCCATACTTGGAAATGAGAAGTAATCAGTCACCTTGCTTTGTAAACACAATGAAATCATACCTAAGAGGAAGTCATGTATTCAGCATATAATAGGGTAAATAACTCACTCGCTGGGTTTTCACCTTGTCGGGGTGAGTGGGCTTGCACGTTCCTATGACCCTTGTGAGCAAAACCATCAGGAGTCTCATACTCCCAGCCGAGTCACCCAAGGCGGTAAGGTCAAAGAGGAGGAGCTAGACAAAGAATGATCCAAGAAGTCCTCAAAAGCTGAACAGGTGGAAGATAACAAGGTATGTTACAATGGCTGTGAAGGTGGATGAAGGCTGCAGCAGATAAGAATCTACCGGTTGTCATGGTACTCATGCCATCGAAATAGAGCCTTACTGTGAAGACTGAGTGTTGGTCAGCATGCACTGATCTACATACATAAAACAAATTCACACACAGGTTTCTTCCAAAAACCCATCCCAAACCCAAACCCCCAAAGTCCCATGACCATTGGCAAATGGTAATGGGGACAGGACAATGAAATCTGGAAGCCCCTAGTCATGAACTGGCACATGGGTGGTGGATACAGATTCAGTCACTCTGACTCAAGGAACGAGGCAGTTGAGCAGCTCGGCAGCTGTATCCATGATGGAGCAGCTCTATATGGGATTCACTCTGTTCACCCCGAAAAGGGGAAGGCTAGAAAAGTTGTCCTAAACATAGTTTGCCTCCCTTTTCCCCTGACTGCATTACCATGCCCAGTGGGGTCACCACCCACTGGTCGTAAAAGACAATTGAACTTAGTAACATGCAATATAAGGGCTTTGTAGGGTAACACAGACCATGAGCATCCTGAGCGGAGAACTGCCATCGCTGCAAGGGAGCTGCAATGTTTTAACATCGATATTACAGCACTTCAAGAAACTCGAAGAGCAGGCGAGGAACAACTGAAGAAAGAAAAAGGAGGCCACACATTCTTCTAGAAAGGTCTACCTGAGCAAGAATGTCCAACAAAAGAGAGAGAACGCATATACACAGTGGTACCTCAGGTTACATATGCTTCAGGTTAAATACGCTTCAGGTTACAGACTCCGCTAACCCAGAAATAATGCTTCAGGTTAAGAACTTTGCTTTAGGATGAGAACAGCAGCAGCAGCAGGAGGCCCCATTAGCTAAAGTGGTGCTTCAGGTTAAGAACAGTTTCAGGTTAAGAACGGACCTCCGGAACAAATTAAGTACTTAACCCGAGGTACCACTGTATATATATATATATCTCTCAGAATATGCACTGCTTGCAAATGAAGCACTGTGACACTCCAGAAATTTTTCATGTGCAAACATAATTAAAATCATGACCACATGTGACCACCTCAATAGCACATGAGCACAAATCATCATGAATGGGGAAAAAAGAAGAAAAAGGGATGCCAGGAAGGACCTGAAATTGCACAAAAAGAAATGAATCAATCTTATTTTGGGGGGTTGTCATTTCCTTAAGGGTGATATACCAGCCATTTAGGAACAGAGAAAGCTACCTTACACAGATCCAAGCTGTTAGTACACCTACGTTATCTGCCAGTGTTCTCATGCCCTTGATGGGTATATCTACAGGCATTGTATGTCCAAAGAGCAAATTTACCACTCTTATCTGAGGTCCTCAACACATATATTTGAGCACAATCACTTTGATGTCTTATTAATAACAAATGTACATATTTAACACTGCTATTGGACTAAGCATTCTAATGGAAATTTGATAAGCTGCTCAAAATGGAATGAGATAAGCTTCTCAATAACTTTGCACGTGTGTGTTAGGTTAAGTCTTAACGCTTACGTCCAGTCAAAGGCGACTATGGGGTTGCAGCATTCATGTCGTTTTTCAGGCTAAGGGAGCCAGAGTTTGTCTGGAGACAGCTTTCCAGATCATGTGGCCAGCATGACTAAATCTCTTCTGGCGTGACAGAACACTGTTTACCTTTCCACTGCAGTAGTACCTATTTATCTACTTGCACTGGTACGATTTCAAACTGCTAGGTTGGCAGAAGCTGGAACAGAGCAACGGGAGCTCACCCCGTCACGTGAATTTGAACTGTCAACCTTCCGATCAGCAAGCCCAAGAGGCTCAGTGGTTTAGGGTATATCTGAACCAATTTTTTCTCATGGATTTGCACCTAATCTGAATGACCTGTGATGATTTTCTGCACAACATCCTGAATTCTGCTCTACTTTCAAGGTGTTAAAGTCCAAACCTGGTGGGTAAATGTCTTTCAAGTGTGTGCTATTCAATTGTCTCAAACACAACAAGGGTTAAGAAGACTTCTGAAAAATTTTAGTCAACTGGCAGTGCAAGAAAAACTAAAAATTATGAAAGGACAAAAGTCACATCTGAAAAAGTGGCTTGTTTTGCCTTCAGAGCAGCAATTTTAAGGAGAAAAAATTCTTCAGGAGAGCAAACTCTTATCTGACAGAATGCCTGGTTTTAAAAATTATTTTAACTGCATAAAGTATTTTATTCTGCTTATGTAGTTTGTTTTTTGTAATGTCATTTTGTAATGTCACTTTCTACATATCTCCATTTGAAGAACTGTTCATTTATTCCTACTCTTGCCTTCCGGCTTCCCAGCTAATTCCTGATGCTGAGGAGGACCTCTCCTCTTAGCCTATGACTGCCAAGCTTAATCAGGAGTCCCTGATGAGGAACTTTGTCAGAAGGTTTTTGAATGTCCAAGTATGCTTTGTTGACCAGATCATCTCTATCTATGTGCTTGTTGACACTTTCTCAGAACTCTAGTAGGGTTTGTGAGACAACTCTTTCCCTTGGAGGAGCCTTGCTTGGTTCATAAGAGCCAACTCCTTGGGGCTGAGGTCCCCCCCCAATAAAATATTTGAGTGGACCCGTGGACCCCAAAGTTGATGGCCATTGCTATTCAAATGATGTTTGTGTACAGCATCATATGATTGATTATGTGGTGTGAGGCTTACCTGCCTCCCCCAATATTTTATTTAACTTGACACCCCAAGGTTAGACATTTTATCCTTAATAATACTTTCCACCAGTTTTCCCTGGAGAATTGTTATGGTAAGCAGCCTGCTATTTCCAGGAGGCCCCCTGGATCCCTTCCTAAAAATTGCTGATACATTGTCTACTTTCCAGGTCTTGGGTATGATGGATGATCTTAGGGACAAGTAACATGTTTTTGTTAGAAGATCAGTGATTGCACATTTTCATTCACTGAGAACTCTTGGGTGGATGCCATGTAGACTCGGTTATTTGTCCATTTTTATTTTGTTTATTAGGCTTAGAACTTCATTTCTTATCAGCATTCATCAGTTCTTCAGAGTTGATCCTACAAAAGTTAAATTATGGTTCCGGGATCTGCCCAAAATATTCTGTTGTGACGGCTGAAGCAGAAAACTCAGTCAGCTTCTCTATGATTCCCTCATCCTCCTTTAGCACTCATTTGACTCCCTTTAGCCCAGCCATCTCCCTGCATATTTGAAATTCTTCTTGTTAGTCTTAATTTTTTATGTGTGTTCATCAATTTCCTTTCTAGCATCCCTTATGGTGTACCTGCACATTTATTTATTTTTTGGCCAATGTTTGCAGTGATGGAGTGTAAGATACAATTACCCGGGGTGGGTGCGTGGAGCAAACCCTCAAGGGTGGTGGGGCACAGAGGAAGCCCACTGCAGCTTGCCTCGCAAAGTGGCACATGCGACGCACTCACATTCTGCAGCCAAGCAGAGGAGGGAGGTGGCAACACTGCAGCCAACTCTCCTGCTCTCCGCCCCTGGGTCAGGCTTCACCCGGGAGTGGAGCTAACACGAGGATCCACTGAGTGAGCCTGTCATGGGGGCACTTGGTTGCACCCCCTCCGAAGCAATACACCCAGGGCCACGGTCCCCCAGCCCCCCCACCTTACTGTCTGCTTGCACTTTTTTCTTTTCTTTTCCCCCCTCACCAAAGCTTGTGTTATTTTTGTTCTCAGTTTGGACAAGACTTTATTTGTTAAGGGAAGCCTTTCGCCTCTAGTAGCTTATTTGACTCTGCTCTTTAACCATGCTGGTATCCTTAGGGCTTTCATGGTATCTTTCCTGATCTGTAGTATACAGTCAGTGGGTGGTGAAGCAACCTAAAAACTCCTTGACCAAAAGACTCACCCATGTTCTAGCATGTTGAAAAGGCTGCCAAGTTTGGCCCTTGAATCAGATGTCTCATCTGGTCAGAATGTGAAATTGTGAAAGGAGGCAGTGAAAACAGATGTTGCTCCAAAGAAACCACTAGATGGTGAGGGGGCACAGTCCTTTCACTGCCACCCAGTTTAGGACAATATGTGATTATCAATAAGGGCAGGCATGACGAACTTTTGACCCTACAGTTTCCATCATTCCTGAACTCTGGCCATGCAGGTTGGGGCTGGACTGCAGCTCAACAACATATGGGGGCCCACAGGTTCCCTGTCCCTGCAGGATGAGTGCTTGTATCTGTGACAACTCTCCAGTTCTGTGCGTGGTATTAGTGTACAGTACTTGCTGTGTATTATTTATAGGGCATAAAAAAGAAATAAATGAGTAAAAATACTGTTAATGTACATTGGTGGCTTTTTACTCTCTCTTTCTCTCCATAACTTAAACTTGACTATCCTGAGACTGGGCCCTTTTCCTTTGCCTTTTCCCTCCTCATTGACCTCAGAAATGGCACCTCAGCTTCACTCACATTAGCTATAGGGTATTGTACACGAATCACATCCAAAAGCTTAGCCGTGGAACAGTTTATTAATTTGAAATACATAATTTTCAGATCATATATGCCACAACAACGCTACCACCTGCATCTTCTTTAAAGACATTTGACAAATAAAATTTTTAATAGGACACCAAGTGATAGTATTTGTTCAAATACATTGCTATGAAGTTAGGATGACGCTGGCATTAGTTGATTAAATGAGAAACTACAGCACTTGCATAGTTTAAATGCAGAATTTTTTTTACACTGCCTTTGCCAGTCCAACTTGGTTGTTCCCCCTGTCAAATATACTGTAGTATTCTCTGAGGAACATATCTCCTAGTATCAAGTGATCATAATCTTTGCTGCCAGAGCTAAAGCCACTCTTGCAATGGTCGTCATCCTAGAAGGTAAGGAAAGGAAAGGATATCCTTAAGATGTGGGTAATTCGACATCCATACCAACCAAGAAATTAATCTAGGTAAAAATGCACAAGGAAGGGTTGCCATATTTTAAACCCTAGCATAAGGTAACATTCCAACATAAAGAAGGACAAGGAAGGATTTTTCCAGGAAGAAAAATCTCAAAAGGAGATAAATGTTGTAGATGTAACACTAGGACAATAGTAATAGTGCACAATATTGTAAATTGTGTATTCAGTCTATAATAATTAGCATAATACCTTAATAATGAACAACCAAATTGTACAAGTTAGCAAACTATTTTTAAAATTATAGGCAGTCTCCACAATTCAAAATGTTTTTTGCTCTGCTCTGTTGGAAGAAATAATTGCATGCAAATGCCATCTTATCCCCGGAATTATGCCGGCTTAATGATGATAGAATCAGTTCCAGACAAGGAATCTTTGCCAAGCCTACTTGGAAATGTTGGAGGTTTAAACTGTGAACTTCTATTTGCAAAGCTAATCCCCTACCACTGAGCTATGGCCCCTCCCTATGGAGTCAATGGAGATCACAAGAGACTTATTTCCCATCTCCTCCTCGCTCCACCTCTCCTGCTAGCTATAAAGGATAGGATCACTGTGTCCCTCTGCCAATAGAAGCCCTTCTTTGGGGATACATGTGGTGTATTAAGATGGTGCCGAGAGTGAGATTTCAAAATTCTCTAGATTGTGTCATCACTACAAGAGGAAATGAGGGGAGAAAGAACATTATTTGTTTCAAAATTCTTCCATATCTGCAACTGCCAAGCAAACACACCTGAGAGCTGCATACAGTATATATGTTGCTCTATGTGATGGAAGATTTAAGTCCTTCTCGGGGTCATCAAGCACCCATGTTATACAACATGTCAGAGGCAACCTTCCTGGGATGGGAATCATCTGTAGTCAGAGATACTATACTAAACTGTGAAACTATGTTGGTGGGAATTTGCATTGGCCTTTTTTCTATAAGACATGCAAGTTTGGGTCCAGCTCTTCTGACCGTCTCAGGATATCTAATCGGCTTTCTGCCCCCAAATGTATTCCTTTTCCCCCTGTCTTTAGCCCATGTGTTTGTAAATATTTTGCACTTCTAATCTGACCCAAACTGTTTGAACCTGCATTATTATGGCAAGTAGATAATATTCCAGTTCTATCATATACCTTACGAGTATAGGCTTGTGGAGTCAAAGGATATTGAATTCCGTTGATTACAAAAACAACATTTGGCATTTTGCGGAGGTTTCTGCAGTTGAAGGAATCCTGAAAGAGATAAGGAAAAGAATTGAGTTTGGACATTATTCTGATCATGAAGGAATTGAACCAGCAAACCTCAAGTTTGCTCAAGAAATGTCGTGGATTTGTCCCTGAGCCAATCTCGGGAAAGCAAGCATACCGCTTTAAGTGAGAACTTAATAACCATCTAGTGTAACTCACAGGTTTGAACAGCACACTGTAGAACACTGTAGCACAGAAGCACGCCATCTAGCTGAATATTACAAATAAATCATCTCAACACTTCACATCTAAACTTCACAGTCTAAAGCAATGGAGATGATGCAAATGGGTGCTGATGGCAGGCTGATGTACAATCTGTTTTGAGAGATATTGTTTGGAAGAAACAAAGCCAATGTATTTTGCAGACAGACTACAGTACGAAATAACAGCAGTGCTCGCTCTCTCCCCCTTCCTTTACTGGATGTCACAGCTTATTTTCTTTTCCTGCCATTTCCATTGTTGTAGCTTGGATGCTCATTCACATTTGCATGCATGTGCAGTAGGTATCATGAAGAACCATGAAGGCTAACACTGAGGTACCAGCAGCTGTAGTCCAGGAGGCAGGGCGGGGCACCGACTTGGGCCCCAGATTATGGGTGCCCAATGGAACCTGCGACGTAACATGACGTGTTGACATTATGATGTCCAATGCAATCTCCGGGGTCATGTCTGAGGTCTCGCAAAACCTCCAACATGACTTCCGGTTTCTCCTGAAAGTCGCTTCGGGAGGCCCCGCAAGGCCTTGGATGTGGATTTGTACCAGTGCCTAATCCTCACCACCTTTGGTTGTGCGCCTCTGAAACTGGAGCTCCGTCTAACAGAGTAAGGAGTGTGGACACTAGAGTGATATGGATGATACAGGGCCTCTATCAGCCACAGTATGAAGAAAATCAGCAAAAGTCAATCTTACCTTGCCAATGGCTTGCTGGATTTGGTTAATTTCATATTTTGGACCAAGCAATAAGGACGTTCCTGTGTCAAGAAGTGCTTGACAGCCATCTCTGCAGGCAATCTTCTTAGAATTCACTAGAATGCTGAGAAATTGGAAATCATTATATTCTTTAGTTTCTGACATGAAACATTTTAAAGCCACACTGTATGGAGCAGCTGTCCAGGATTTCAGATAGGGAGTTCTCATAGCACTGCCTGAAGATATCAGTTATGGAACCTGTGACCTTCTGTTTGCAAAGCAATTGATCTGCCACTGAGGTAGGGCCCTTCCCCAAACATGGGTTGTTGCTTTTTTAATGGAGAGTGGGATGTGATAAGTACTTTCAGGAAGTTGCATTGGAAATTGTAGAAGGCATAAAACAAAACACATGAACTACAGATTGTAAGCTGCTCAGGGCAAGGGCCTGCAATCATATACTCTGTTAATGCCATTTACAAGAACGGTTCTATATAAGTCATCCTAACAAGGGACAACTAGAAAACACAGAGTAAGTCGCACATTCATATTTACATTTTATTGCCCTCCATCTCTTCCTGTTTAGCTAACTAGTAGCCATTAAAATTATTCAGAAAAACTTTTCAGTTTTATTGTACCCAGTCAATATGTTAAGATTAACAATAATGTTGCTAATACTACTAATAAGAATAATTCCTGCTTACCTGTCCACGGCAATCCGCCATTGATATTTAGATATGACAGGAATCCAGTTAATACGACCAGTAAAATAGGATTGATCAATTCCACCAAAAATGATCATGCTCCCATCTGTTTTTCTGAAACATAGATATATAGTGTGCTGTTGTCAAGTCATTCATTCAGAATAAGCTAAACTGCATATTAAAAGAATGAATGTACCATGTTCTTGTACCTCTGTCCAAATTAGACAGAGAGAGAGAGAGAACGGAATTTTTGCAGTGCACCAGTATCTACTGGTGAACACTGGACAATGAAGGCTCTAAGATTTTGAAAGGTGAATGCTGTTCATGTACTTTTCCTTTCTTGTTCTATATATCACCATGCTTCCTGTTCAGCTCTGTATATCACACACTGACTTCCCCCTTCATAATCTTCATATGTTTTGGTCTTCTAATTGGTTTTCATTGTGATTTTAAGCCAGTTTGGGGCAGTGGAGGCCATTCTACTCCACCAACCCCAGTCTACCTTCCGCCAGCCTCACCTGCCTGCTGGCTTGCTTGCACCCAGTCCAGGGCATGTCACTGTCTGTCAGATTCCTCCAATTTAGTCAGTCTCATTGCTGCCATTATGGTGGAGAATGCCGAGAAAGGGAGACTTGGCCGGCTTCATTTGTGCCTGGCTCTACTTCCACCTACTGCTTCCCTTAGTGCCTTCTGCCCTAGAAAGGCTTGCTACCTTCCTTTCACAAAACCACTAAGTGTGCAGTGCTGGGCACACTTACTCAACAGTAGAGCTGACATGTACAGGATGAGTTGCATATTATCCACCTAATGTGATGGAGAGATTTATCGTTATTGATCTACTCCCAAAATAGTCAGGTGAAAAGGTCTTTGCCTTTGCATTACAGTCCTCCAATTATTCTGCATGAGGTAGGATTCTGATTTGGAGCAAAGACTCCAGAGGTATTAAATTAAAATCATAAGTGAAGGTAGCTACATGGGTATGTGTGTGTGTGTGTGTGTGTACCGTATTTCCATGCATTACAGAATAGTACAAGAATTAGAAGCAGGGGGGTTGGCCTCTTCACTCTCTGCCTCAACTCTGTCTACCTCCCTCTCTTCCCACATTCATACTTAGCTCACCTGAGCTTGGCTCCCGCTCTGCTCTGCTCTCAAGGGACAAGCTGCAAGGGGGGTGCAGTCAACTGCTGGGTACTAGAAAACCAGAGGGACCTTTTCTTCTTCATCATCAAGTAGCCTTGACTACAATAGCTTATTCATCCCTGGAGAAGCTTGGCATTCTGACCAATTTGAGGATGGGGGTTCCAGTCCCCTCTACCCATCAACCTCTGTGCAAACAAAGCACAGTGGCAGACAGAATTGTACAGCAGGCAAAGCAATAGCCAACCTGTAAAATAATCTCAGGTGCATTTTCCTTCCATGAATCCTCCAAGTACACACAACAAATCATCTTAGCAGTAAAGCAAAATAGTGTTTACCCGCTGAGATAAACAGAAAATTCGTCTTTCTCAAGCAAGCCTTTCTTCATCAGGTTATCAATGAATGAACCTCTCCTCCCAGAGCCTAAGCCGAGGATCCCATCATATATAGTTGTGGAAAAGTGGTCTTCTGACTCCCTGGTGCTCAATCCAAATTCCATATCAGAAATAGTAAGACTGGATATCTAGGAGAAAAACAAAATATTCCCTTACTTCTGTATCATGCTGTAAAGTACAGAGCAGGCTGCTACAAGTGATGCATTCAGGCTAAAATCCTGTGCATGTTAACATGAAAGGAAACCTCATTTGACTTTTCAGACAATAATATTCAAACATGGATAGTGGCAGGTAATAAAATATTGGGGGTGGCAGGTAAGTCCCATCCTGCACAATTGATCACAAGACACAGTCCATGCGCACCATTTGAATGGCAAAGCCCATTAACTTTGGGGGGCAGCCCCTGTCATATAATATTTGAGGGATGAAGGGACCATGACCCATAAGAATTGGCTCCTATGGAGAGTGGGCAAGAGCAAATTAGGTCCTAATTTTAAACCTGTTTATTCAGAGGTAAAGGTAAAGGGACCCCTGACCATTAGGTCCAGTCATGGCTGACTCTGGGGTTGTGGTGCTCATCTCGCTTTATTGGCCAGGGGAGCCAGCATACAGCTTCCGGGTCATGTGGCCAGCATGACTAAGCCAGTTCTGGCGAACCAGAGCAGCTCACGGAAACGCCGTTTACCTTCCCGCCGAAGCAGTACCTATTTATCTATTTGCACTTTGATGTGCTTTCGAACTGCTAGGTTGGCAGGAGCAGGGACCGAGCAA